TTTTTATGAGGCTTTATTTCAATACAGAAATTTCTATTGGAGAAAACAAGGTAACACTAAAAGTTGTAAAGTTACCACAGTAGCTAATATGAACCATTTTCTTCAAAATTTGAAGAAACGATACCGATTCTGGCTTGCCATTGCTGTTCCTCAACTGTGGAAGTCACTTGCATTCTGGCGATAGACTTTTTGAATGAACAAAACTGTCGGGAAAAAAAATGACAAACGAAAGCACTTACGGTGAAATTTACAATGGCACATTTACACAATATGCGTTTTGCGGCACACACAAATATTTCATAATCTTATTGGATGGACGTATATTGTTTGTATCTTATTTGCCCTTCAAAAACTATTTGACGATTTCAACCATTTTACAACGCTTTTTCAATGCAAAACTGATGAAAAAGTGAGTAGTACTGCACGGACTAAATTTGTGAATACTCAATTCGTTCCTCGAACCGTTTTGTTGGAGAACTAGAGAGTTCATGAGGGAGTTTTTAAGAGTATGGTTAAAATTCTTGCATTTTTCATCGCAGACGATAGGCCAATTTTGAGCTCAGTGTCTAGTATGAAGTAAGCGGAAAGTATTTGTTATATTTGACAATTTCAGTTAGTAAAGCGTTACTCACCAATCTCAGTATTATTTAAGAAAAGTTTCAATAAACAGAGAAAAAGAAGGATTTCACAATTTGAAGGATTCCTATTTTTTGTTGTCTATTTTTCAAGAATAACTTGAATTTCCTTCTTCACCGCGAAAAATCAAAGTATCAAACAAATTAAAAGAACAGATGAAACGATGACATCCAATAATAACGTTTCTAATAAGTTGAGCTTATAACTGAGTTCTTACATGAGAAATGAGAAAACGCAGTCGGTCAGTCAGCAAGTCAGTAAATAACAAAGGAATGAACTTTGAAACTAAACAGGATTGAATGCCGCAACCTCACCCATTTTTGGGAAAACGATCCTTTCTGAAGGCCTCATTCCACTCAGGTTTTGCTTGCTATAATTAAGAGCAGAATTCTCGACGGCCTCTGCAACCTCAAAGATGGATGCTTTCAGTGTTTTAACCTCTTCTACGTCGGTCTTGACATTTGTGACGTTCTTGATTATTAAGGTGAAATCTTCCAACACAGTTACAGCCTTCTACAATTACATAAAATATTTCCAGGTCATTGACTAGACTTTCTCATATATACAATTCATATGAAAGATGCGGAAAAAGTCCAGCAGGAGGCCCCAAATGGTGTCCAGGGTATTCATTTGCTAAATAACTCTTTTAGAGGCCTGAAGTATTTTTTAAGCCTCACCATTCTCCCCTCAAATGGCTTGAGTGGCGGTTTATCCTGTAAGGTCAGATATTTACTTTTTTGATGGTTTAAAATCATATATCGAAGTTAAAAAGCCTTTTAGTTATGAAAATTAGATACATGTATGGAAGTCCTTCTGGTAATATTTATTCCGTGAAATTTTGAAACATACTCCTTTGCCTAGAGTAAAAAAAAACACAATTGTCGCAGAGAAGATCCTGGAAAAGTCAGATATTTACTTCTTATGATTTAAGAACATATATCAAAGTTAAAAGCCTGTAAGTTATGAAAATTAAATACCTGTATGGAATTCTCTCTAGCAATATCTATTTCGTCAAATTTTGAAACATACTCATCTGCCTAGAATTGAAAAAATAATGTCGGTCACATTTGTAAACAGAGAAGTTCCGAAAAAGCGACATACGTAAATACGGTAAATGACTATTTCGAAGAAATACCAGCTGCTCAACTGACGATGGCGATAACGATGGCGAGGTTGCAAGTGCTATCCCGGGTGATGGTGAAGGCGGCAATATAGATATTGATGAATCTTTAAAGAAAAATGTTGATCAAAACCACATCATACACGAAAATTTCCTAACACCGTGGGGGCAAAAATTCGGACGGAGAGCAAGTAAAAAAATGGCCGCCGTGAATGCTTCAAACTCTTAAATGTACTCGATTTTTTTATCGTCATAACGATTTTTTCCAGCCGGAAAACCTAAAGGGATCGGTCGTAGGAAAATCAAGATATAATTAAGGTGTTACTAACCTAAGGCACAACTGTTAAAAACAGTTTTTTTTCACTTTGGCGGATTCAGTTGCACTCATCACGCAATTCATTAAGCATAGTATAGGTTGCTGTCAATGGCTGTCTTTACTCTTATACGAATGTGTCATTCCGGGTAATTCTTTGTTCAATTATTCTACATTATACGGAGAGTGAAAAATATTGAGAAACTAATAACAATGATAATGATGGTAATACAAAGATCCCCAGGTTTTGCTTTAACGATCAACAAATATTTTAGAAAGGACATGTGTAGAGTTTTGTATGTTTCGTTGTTCCGTAGGAGTAGAAATCGGAATAAATATTTCACATATTGAAAGTCAATTTCGACGGTGGCGTAGCTACCGTAGAACAAACAGGAATAACTAGGGTCGTACTTACCCAGCACACAACATATTAAAAAGAAGTTTTCGCCGGATTCATTGCCATTTACCATCCACTTCGTCATGCCCAAGATAATCAAAGGTTCCTGTTAAGAGTTATCGTTACGCTTATATCTGTTTCATCTCACTGGAAAGTTTTGGATTTTGTACGAGTTAGAATTAAACGCAAATCATGATCTCTGAACACATGTTCATGGCGTTAGTCTCCATTTTTTTTTCTGTCATAGACGAACCAATCGACAAAAAGCAGCTTGCACCAGACGTGAAGCATTTATTTCTCTTAATACAATTGGAAAACTTCACGGCATTAAAATAGTTTTTCTAGTTCAAGTTTTGTAAAGAAGCAGCTCAAATACAACTGATGTTTAGAATAGTAATTTTTTTAATGAGCTCTGCTAAGTGAGAGTTGTATCAAACAAACTTCTGTTTTATTAACCGGCAGCTAAAGGTTGTATGCCATCTGTTTGTATGCATAAATGGAAATGATTTATATATATATTCATCTCGCCTATGACATGCTAAGCGTTTCAGTTGGTGGGTCTAATTACTTCGCATGCCTTCAACCTTGATGGACTAACTCGCTCGTGTGTCAATTTACATAAGTTATTATTATTTTTATTTCACGGCAAACTCCGAGTCAAAGGATTTCTTTCCGGTTCTCTTAGATTACGGATTCGATGTCAATTTACATAAAGTTGATCGTTAATTGATCAGAAAACCAACGGAGGCTAACGGCCATAATTTAGTGTTCAGCCTAAAAAACAACTCTCCCCTGCAAAAGCATCATACAGATCATCACTTTTGTGTCCAAAAGTTTGAATTCCATCATTTTAGAAGGAGTGGTGGGGTCAAAAGCTCTTAGTGCGAGACGTTCCTGGGTCATAATGATATACTCTGTGGGTGAGACATTCTACTCTCCTAGTGTCTCCACGATCATGGAGTAATTGATTCGTTATTCCAGAATATTCCCTAGCTGCGATCTATTTATTCAATGGAAGCATTAATCGTTTTGACCCATCGCATTTGAGTGGTATAGAGAGAAATGTATTTGTATATTCCAGACTAATTCTTTTTTTTTTTTTTAATTCTTCCGTCTTAATCGTAAGCATCATCATCATCCATGTTTAGTTATAAATGAGTATGAGGTAACCGAAACTGTTGTAAACTGTTAGGCACATCTACATAATCGACTCCTTCTTTGGCTTGTAGGAATTCCTCTTTCATGCTACGTTTTTGCTGTAGTAATATTTGAAAACCAGGCCCATGGAAATATTTCGCATCTCTATCTCTAAGCATTTTCCTTTAAATTGTATACTCTGTGTAAAATTTCTTTAATCATTGTTTAATGATGTGTGCCGAATGGTTTATAATCTCTTGGTTCATGGTTCATGCCATTTCCGCCTAACATTGCCCCAATTTAATTCCAAATTAATCGATGTATTTTCGATTCAAAACGATACTCCATACCTTAGGAATGCGAAAAACAAATGGGTAAATGCAACTGATCCATAAAAGATCCAGTCATAAGGGGTTTTTCCCGTTCTTCTAAAATTATTTGTTTATTTATTCAAACATTTACGTAATCATCTACTTATTCATTAAGCAACAGCTTTGAATGTCAGCATTAGCTGCTAACACTATCAGTATTATTTGTTACAGCACAATTTAACCGACAGAAAAAGCATTATTTATCAACAAACCCAACTAATTCATTAAACAACTTTTAATATTCTCACTAAGGAGGGACTGTTCAAGAAATTAGAATATTTATCCTTAGATAAACTGATTGAAGCCCACCACAAACTATTTCCCAGCTCACCACTGACACAACCTTCCACAGTAGTTCTCTCTCGGTACAGCTTTCTGAAAAATCATTCACTCCCAACAACAACAAGTATCACTGCTGCACGACTGAGTCCTAACGTACATAGTATTTCACAAAATATAGCTATATCGTTAGTGTTACATCATAACTACGTAACCTATAAAAATGCTTCAGAAAATCTCTTTGATATGAATGTCAGCGTGACTAGGCATTCTAGAAATATCTAGAAACTTATAGTTACAGTTACTATCCATAGTTTATTGTTAATAGTAATGACATAGTTTGATGAGAATTTTGTGAACTCAAGAAGGGAAACTTCGAATATGAAACAATCATGCAGTAAGCGCATAAATTTAGCGCGAAAGAATCAAAAGATAAATACATTCAATTAAAGCTCCGTGCTAGAGCGCTTTTTAAAGAAAGACAATACGTGATTTCCTGACATAAATTCTCACTTCGTTCTTAGCAGACTGTGGTCTTATTCAAGGGGCAGTTATCAATATACATTGAAGAAGATAGGTTATAATTACAACTAGTTGAGTGTTTAAACAATAATAAACAGAATGATTCTTTTTTTTAGCCTCAGATTTTAACTCAGACCGATCGTAACCGACTAATTGCTGTTAACTAAGTTATTGCACTTAGTTATTGACTGTTATTTCCGGTTTGTTGGATCCAGTTAATTAAATTTAGTGTGATTTCGATTCAAATTCAGCACAAGACTGCAATTCAACTGCCCATACATCCACAACTGCAGTTGGATTGGCCTGTGAGCTCTTCCTTGTGGTGTTGTCCCTTATAGAAGATGGAAAAACGATATTTATCTTTCTTTTGAATCGCTCTCTGATCTGCAGATAGACGAGCAACATGAATATGGTTCTTAGCACTCGGACATTTAACGAAACACTAAGACTTTATGATATGGAGTTAGTGTATAATTACTTCAATGGTTTCTCTTACCTGAGTGTTTCGCATACAGTGTAGAGCGAAAAACAGGAAACCCTGCAGCATAAACATGATTTCAAGATCGTTGCTTTTTATAATATGCAAACAAATTAGTCTAATATCAGTTAAGATTTCCAAGAATAAAGGAAAATTTCACATCTTATCAATGAATATAAAGATAAGTCTAACTTATCTTGCTTGGTTAACAACTTTTCGTTTTTGCAACGTTGTCTCACTTGGTCAGAAATTAACATAAATAGCAGAGTTTGGATGATTTTTGAGAGTTAAAATCCAACACTTACCTGAGCAGAGTTGAGTAGGGTAAACATGTAAGCGAACGCTTTATGTACAGGTGAGAGGAGACCGAATACCCACGTGACACCCAGCAGGGGAATCATCACCACGCATGCTTTGATGCCAGTCCTAGGAGTAAAAAAGAAAACGTTCCTTTTATTTTACTTTGACAATGAAATTTCATTTTTAGATATAGTAAGACCTTACTGATTAAGGAATGAGGACGTCAGGCGAATAGAGCCTCAGAGGAGGACATGGCAATGTCTTCCACTATTTTAATTTAGTTCTATGTTGCGAATCTTACCGTATTTGCTGAGAATGGTCGTCTTCCCCTGTAGGCTGCAACAAATTGGTCATCTCTTTAATGACTCGTACGAGTATCAAGATATTGAGCTGAGGAATACAATAGAAATAAATTGATTATTTAGATGCTGTTGGCAAATAGCTAAAGCAGGAGAGGATCCTTGCCCCAGACGGTAATAGTCTGGTGTGTGACATGAGGAGTCATTTACAGGGAATAAAACTCCCAACTGGGGAACATAGATTATAAGCTTCGATCCTCTGACAATGAGCTAAAGAAATCGCCAACCAAATTAAGTGTGTGAACTGAATGAACCATGCAAACTGAATCCTTATGTTAAATTACATAAATTTAATATCTCCTATTCCTCCTGCTCCTTTCATCTTGTTTGTTTTTTAAGAGCTATTTTTGCGCGAAAAATTTATCTTACATCAATGTGAAACAGTGAGAAAACGTCAAAAGGAAAGGGGAAAAATATTTTTCTCACTATGTAGTTAAAGTTGGAGAATTTATGAAGCTATCTTTTGCCTGTGAAGACATTGTCTCAACAGGTTTTACTTGCTATTGAAGGCCATCACTAGGTTAAAATTGACTAGCATCCTTGCAAACAGCAGCTACGTCCAAAGTTTTTTGTGAGTAAATAGGAAAAGGAAATTGGTTAATATTGTGTGGGGTCATATCCTAAATGTTTAATTCGTTTTTTAAAGAGCAGAGAAAAAATCTTTAGCAGCAAGTAGTCCAGGTATACCAATCAAAATCACCGACACTAATAATAAACACTAATAATAAACTCACAACTTCAATGAAAGCCACAAAGGCGACGAATGTCCAGATCAGGTTGTTAGTCGAGGAAAGCCAGCAACTAAACCCGAGGAAGTGAAACACAAGAAAGAAACACAAATTTTCAGAAAATGAAATGATACCGATTTCAAACTATATGCAAAAACAAACAAATAATTAACTGCAACGAATTAAAAGGAGAAGAGCAAGAAAAAAATCGTTGAATTTTTTCTTACTATTTATCACTCGTATAGCTTTGTAACCCCTCTTTTCCAGCAGCGATGCCGAGTGAAATGGCCACCATGATCACTGGAAGACCTACCCATAAAGAAAGAAAGGAAATCGAAACACTTTACTGCATCACATTACAAGATTTGGCGATCCGAAAGCATGGTTACAGTGACCAGTGCATGTTTTAAAATAATAAACCTACCCCATGAGATGACGTGATACATGTACATCTTGGTGTTAATGTTGTAAACTTTCACAACAAAAAAGTAGAGATAAATTCCCTCGATCAGCATCCAACAGAAAGCGGCCATGAAGAAATACTGCATCAGAGCTGCTATTGTAACACAGGCAGCCTGTGGAAAGAAAGCCGGTTCTCGTATAATTCTTAACGTGCTCCTTTCGACATGATATCTACGGTGCAAAGAGTAAATTCATTCTATAAATAGAAGGAGAGGCCACTGACTTTGTTTTCTGTGGCGTTTATTCCGGCGAGGAAGATGATCTGTCCAGCTCCAAGTGACATGGAAACACTCAGTCGAATTTGAGAGAGAGGTTGACGAACATCTCTGGTGAAATAATAGTAAAAACAAAAAGAATGAATGAGACAAAAGTAACAACAACAATAAAAAAAAACACTCAGGAGACAGCAAGAACAGCAAAACACAAGAAAATTGAATTAAAAGACAGAAAAATACGACTAAAAAAATTAACTTAATCTTGATACCAAAGGAAAGAAAAAAGTGAGCAATAGCCACAGAAAGGACATAAAAGGAAAATGTTAGGGAGAAAATGTCTAAACCCTAAACAATTCATAAACCGTGAAACCATGAATTGTTCAAGCGTTCGTGATGTGGCATGAAATGTAGCTTGAATTTGTTAAAATTTCCGACAGGCATGTTCTTGTTTGCATGGAGATTTGCATTGAGATCTCTTTTCTCACCAGCCTTGTTGAGAGGAGTTAAGAATCTACCTCATTATTATTCAGATACATTACTTACGTGAGGCAAGAATAAATTATTAATGTTAAAAGTATCCCGACAATGGAAAGGCTCAGTCCCACGTAGGTGATAATTTTCAGAATTGTTTCGTCCTCCTCGGTGAGCTGTGTCAAAAAAATAAAAAGTAAAGGACAGCATTGAGTTAGTTCATTGAGCCCATAAAACTATTGAGTAAAGTAAAAATAACTCTATTACCTTTGTGCTACCGTCGTAGTCCATTAAGACGGTAAAATGCGTCAAATGATTGCAGTTGCAAACTGTTTCTTCTGAGTTGCTTTCTGATGTAACTACATGGCATCCTTCCTCTGAAAAGCTGTCAGACATGAAAAAAAAGTAATTCAACAAAGCGTACAAAATTATTCGTTTCTAGGGAAAGATGTGATGTTTGACAATTTTGCGCTAAGTTTTTCCTCCATTGTGGTTTTAATTGTGAGAACATTTCAATCAGACCTCTCCTCTCTAAAAACGACAACATGCTCATTAATTCTCCTCCAAACTTAATTTAATTCAAGAAGGAATAAATACCATACAATAGTATATTGCATTTTTTTTTTACCTTTTGCTAATGTCACTCCAAAACATACAGCGCTTCTCTGCTGTCAAGACCTGAAAATAGATTTTATTTTGTCAGTATAAATCAAAACAATACATAAAAATTAATTTTAATGCTACCTTAAGGTTTTTGAACTTTAGGATCACATTTTCTCGCAATTTCTCTGGCTTGGGGTCCATAGTTACTGCCATTATCCTGGAGTTGATAAACCTATGAAGGAAATTGTATTTGAAAATGAATGAGAACCAAGGAAGCAACATTATATACTTTTGGCAGATTCAAGCGAGCTTTTCATAAAGGTGGAATGGTCAATGATAAGCAGGAAGACTTCCAACCCTAGTTGGGGTTTTTGAAAATTTTTAAGTTCAGTTTGGTTGAACGTAGATCTTATGTGTTTCCACGTTATGTGTTTCTAGGGAAAACGACACGCCATAATACAAAAATAACATCACCTTTTGTTGTCTGTTTCACTGCTGATGGCTCGATCTGTCAGAAGTAACTCATGCAGATCCTTGTACACAAACGCAACTACCAATGATCCTTTAAACCGCCAAGCATCAACAAAATAAGTTATCAAATAACAACAAGAACAAAAAAAAAAACATTGAAATGTTTATCAGGCTCTGAGGTATGAGACATTAGAGGGAAGGCGAATGATTAAAGAAGATAGACTATGTAAACTAAGGAAGCATATTTATATGAAGCTTTATTTCAATAAAGAAATTTCTATTGGAGAAACCAAGGTAATACTAAAAGTTGTAAAGTTACCACAATAGTTCATACGAACCATTTTCCTCAAAATTTGAGGAAGCGATATCGATTTTCACTTGCCATTGTTGTATCTCAAAGTGGAAGCCACTTGCATTATGGCGATAGGCTTTTTGAATGGCCAAAACTGTCGGGGAAAAAATGACAAATGGAAGCACTTACGGTAAAAATTTACAATAGCACATTTACACAAACATACGTTTTGCGGTATACACAAATACTTCATAATCTTATTGGATGGGTGTGTAATGTTTGTATCTTATTTGCCCTTCATCGACTATTCGACGATTTCAAGCATTTTACAAAGTCAAACTGATGAACAAGTGAGTAGTATTGGACGGCCTAAAATTATGAAAACTCAATTCGTTCCTCGAAGCGTTTCGCTAGAGAAATATAGAGTTCATTAGGGAGTTTTTACGAGCACGGTTAAAAGTCTTGCATTTGTATGCATCGCCGACGATAGGCCAATTTTGAGCTCAGTGTATGGTAAAAAGTAAGTGGAAAGTATTGTAAGATTTGAAAATTTCAGTTAGTAAAGTGTTACTCACCAAACTTTAAGATAAGTTTTGATGAACAGAGCGAGAATTCGGTTTCACAATTAAAAGAGTTCCGATCAGTCTCTTTTTGATCGTTCAAGAATACCTTTAATTTCCTTCTCCACGGCGAAAAATCAAAGTATCAAACAAATTAAAAGGCCAGATTAATCGATAACATCCAACAATAAAGTCTTTAATAAGTTGGGCTTATACCTGAGTTCTTACATCACCTAGCTATAAGAAGTTAGACAACTCTGTCGGTCAGTCAGCAAGTCAGTAAGTAACAGAGGAATAGACTATGAAACTAAACAGGATTGAATGCCGCAACCTCACCCATTTTTGGGAAAACGATCCTTTCTGAAGGCCTCATTCCACTCAGGTGTCGCTTGCTATAATTAAGAGCAAATTTCTCGACTGCCTCTGCCACCTTGAAGAGGGAGTTTTTCAGTGTCTTAACCACTTCTATGCCCGCCTTGTCTTTTGTGGCGTTCTTGATTTTTAAGGTGAAATCTTCAAACACAGTTACAGCCTCCTACAATTACATAAAATATTTCCAGGTTATTAAGCAGCCGGTCTCATACATACAATTTATATTAATAACGTCTAGCAGGAGGCCCCAAATGGTGTCCAGGGTATTCATTGGCTAAAGAACTCTTTTAGGAGCCTGGATTATATTTTAAGCCTCATCATTTTCTCTCATATGGCTTAATGGTGGTTTATCATTAAAGGTCAGATATTTACTTTTTATGGTATAAAAGCCTTTAAGTTACGAAAACTACATACCTGTATGGAAGTCCTTCTGGTGATATCTATTCCACCAAATTTTGAAAGATACTCCTTTGCCTGGAATAAAAATTAATGTCTGTCCATTTGTAAACAGTGAAGATCCTGAAAAGTGATATGCATAAGAACAGTAAATGACTATTTAGAAAACATACCAGCTGCTGAACTAGCAAAGGCGACAGGGATGGCGACGGCGATGGCGATGACGATGGCGACGGCGACGGCGACGGCGACGGCGACGGCGACGGCGACGGCGACGGCGACGGCGACGGCGACGGCGACGGCGACGGCGACGGCGACGGCGACGGCGACGGCGACGGCGACGGCGACGGCGACGGCGACGGCGACGGCGACGGCGACGGCGAGGGCGACGGCGACGGCGACGGCGACGGCGACGGCGACGGCGACGGCGATGGCGAGGGGCGACGGCGACGGCGACGGCGACGGCGACGGCGACGGCGACGGCGACGGCGACGGCGACGGCGACGGCGACGGCGACGGCGACGGCGATGGCGTTGGCGATGTGCGATGGTTATAGCAAGAGCGATGGCGATTGCGTTGTGAAGGCGACGAAAGTGCGGTAGATATAGATGGATCTTTGAAAAAAATGTTGATTAAGACCACATCGTTAAAAAAATGCCCAAGTGTAACAATGTGACAGTTAAAATGCGGACGGAAAGCGGAGTAACGAAATGGCCGCTACGAATAATAAAAGCTCTTAAATGCACTCGATTTTCTATTGGTTATACAGAACACCCTTATCGTTTCCTTTGTATTAGTTTCGTCTTTCGCACATGTCTTGTATGATCGATACTCAGATAAGGCCTAGGATGTTTTTCGAAAACTAGACGCCAAAAATATTAGCATATAAATAACACATCCCTTAATCACTGGTTAACATACAATACGAGTACACATTTTGCCCACTTTCTGTCGTTTCAACTCGCCCCTACGAGGCCTTGGAAACACTACGCAAATCGCAAAATATCCGCGCGTATTAATTGTTAAACCACCAAATGTGACGTACTCGTTTCTTTTTTTCCGATGAATTTACTGCCCTTTCTTTGATTTTTGAGCTCAACCGTGGTTGTCTCACTGGAAGAAGGTTTGAGTCAGCACAAGCTCTTATTTTAATAATTTGATGGATTTTCTAGAGAAAACGACAGGAGACTCCCTGTCCAGGCCTTGAAATTTGTCAATTTAGAGAGTATGTTTTCCGAGAAATCCGCATACAATCCAGCGGCTATTTGATCTTCTGACGTGACGACCACTAGTAATTTTTTCTCGTGAATTAAAGTTTACATTTTAAGAAAAGCGGTTGATGCTTTCTCTCAAGAAAAAAGAAACGCATAACGCAAAGCGAAACTTGAATCGTTTAGCCACTAAACTCTAACCCACAAAATGATTTTTTTCAACATTAATAATGTATGTTCATCGATGCTAACGCGCTTACGTATTTCATTTTGAAGCGCGATTTAGTTAATCAATTTTATTTTTCGTCGGATTTGAATAATTTAGAGAGGGAGTTTTTTACACCTTTGCCCGTCAGTCAACTGAGGTGAATTTCCTTCACGTTTGGGAAACATTAGAAACATTGGGGAGAACACATGCAGTTAACAATTACACTTGGACAAAGCCGTCTACTCTGTGGCATGGTGACACTTTCCTTACACGTCTTTCTCTTTAAAGTGTAGTATACAGAAGTAATGTGTTCTTACCTTCGGGCATTTCACAAATATATGAAGTATCTTCTCCGGTAAGGGCTTGATTTGCAAAGTGGCCCTGTTGCTTCTTCGTGACTAACATGGCCTTATTTCTGGCCCCACTTGGTTGGTCTTCCCATTTACAAATAGTCAGTGGTCTTCCACTCACCCAGGTCCAAATCCCGTTCTCTCTTACCAAACCGATGTGCCATTTTTGTTCATTATTGTTTTCAATCTTATCAATAATAAGGTCGAATTCTTCTTCGGTTTCAATGGAAATTAAATCACCGCCGTCAGCCTTGCAAATGCTTCTGCTCTCGTTCCATGTTTTCCGGCCCGACGCACAAAACCTGTAGCGCAAACTATCAAAACAAGGACTCACGCCTCCTATAGATTAAAGGAGAAAACAAAAGAAGCATTGAAAACCGATCTCTTGAAAACATAAAATTGACGTAGTCACTGTACTTCATATGTACATGTATATATAGTAGAGTATAGAGACATTTTAGCTAATTTTATGTGCCTCGTATATCTGTTATGAACCTTTCTCTAGTTCAAAATAAGCTCGACATCTCGTCTTTAAATATAATTTAAACCTTTTGCAACGTAATCATCCTCATGAACCTCAGCTCAGCGGTGGCGGTTCTATAGTTTAATATGCAGCTTTGTTCCTTCTAATTCAACGACTTGTAAGTGTATCAGAATAACACCCTACCTTTTTTGGACCAAATCTTATTTTAAGTGACACATAAATAAAAGTAAAGAAAAAACCCAGCCTTACCTCCTCTCACGGATTGCATCATTAAAGTCTGGATAGCTGAAGTACGAATGTGAAAAATCAATTCAGTTTCTTATTTCCACTGAAATACGCATTTCGCTGACGAATTAAATTTACTAAATAGAGTGACTGAAGAATTAAGTATGTTTTTCGTGGTCATCTAAGAAAATTCACAGAAAAGCACTATAACAAACTAATGAGACATCTCATTAATATTGTACTCTAATAAAGCTCTCTCTTTTAACCAAAGGGAGAGCAAGTTATATCAAAACTTTTATTAGAGGACTGCTTTATTAGCTGCGATGCGGTAGTGGTTCTATTTTTTGTATACAAATTGAAATAATGAGTTGTCAAGCTATTTTGAATTCATTATCTACTCCATAGGGCCGGAGGGACACTTCAATGATGACCCAATTTTAATTCAATGCATTCGGTGTCAAACAAAAGATATCACCGTAGCGTCTATCTGTTATAAGAGCCTCACAATTTTATGCCAAAATTTGACTGTTTGTGTAGGTGTGTGTCATTGGATCTGAATGAATATCAATTTTCTTTTAACTGTTGCAGTTACGTAATTTTTAACACATCTTAAATGCTTGTTACTTTCTCGTCCGTTTTTATTTTTTTAACTGTCATATTTATATATGCTAATTTTTGTGACTAAAAGGGACTTAAAAAAAAAACCTTGGTGAGGTCGTGCGCTCGTTCTTTTTTATCTCTAATTTTTTGTTACAAATCTATATGAATCAAATATGAAAGATTGCAAATAACTTTAACTAATGAGTTTCTACTGATCATCGTCTATCGGTCTAATTGACTGGAAATGATATTTCAGCTTAAAAAAAGAATGGAAGCAGTCCACTAAGTAAATTTGCCTCAAAGTCAGAATAAAAACAGGAGTCAGATGTCTGAGGTACGTAGGTGAATAAAACATCTACCACCCAAATTTTTCCAAACTCTGGGTTAAACTGTTGTAAAACTTTGCATCTGTTCAACCTTATACGAATTCAAGTTGAACCACGTTATAAGGTTCGCCCGCTATAAGAAAAAATTACATGAAAGCGAACGGTTTCCAACGCCGTTTAGCGTAAAAGATAGGATAGCTACAAAAATATTGTGTCGCGTGATCCTAATTAAGGCGTTCAGATACACCGCCATGACGTCAAAAATTATAAATTACAGTGACTACTTTTTTCCAATTATTTTGCATCGTTCGGAAAGTTGATAAATACCAGAAAACTAATGCTAAAAGTCCGTTTATTTGGGAGATAATCTGGAAGCCTATAGCATATATCTGTAGAGCTTAGAACGTTTTGTTATTAGAATGCCTAATAAACACAACATGAAATAAATTTTTAACGGATTTGCTTGCGTGCCGCGGGAAGTTCTTAAGTCGATATGAATCTTTTGCAAATTATGGTCAAGCGCTTGGCTTTCATTGCTTATGATAAACTAAAAGAAATATTAAAGGTACTACTTACCAAACGCACAACTTATAAAAAGGGTTTTTGCCATTTTGTAGGATTCAGTTTCACTCTTCATCAAGCCCCAGATATATATAAGCTGCTACGAGCAGCTGTAGGCAGACGAAAGTTATCGTATTTGGGAGCAGTAAATGAAAGGAAATTTCTTCAAGTATTTAAAACTCTTTTGTAGGATCTAGAATAAATGCAAATGATAACACTCGGTCGACAGTTCATGACATGAGTCATCATTTTTTAAAATGCTTTTTAATAGATAGACCAATAGACTGAAAGCAACTTGCACCAGCTGTAGCGCATTGGTTTTCTTCATAAGAACGAAAATTTCACAGGACAAAAACATTTTTGTTATTTTCAAATTTTATGAAAATGTAGTTAACAAATAATTATTTATGACCAATAATGTTGCTGTTATTCCCGGCGGCCTGCCGTCAGTTTTGCAGCCCCTAGACAAGTGCATAAACAAGCCTTTTAAAGCCAAACCCCGAATGCTGTATGAAACATGGGTAGTAAAAGGCCCGTTCACGTATACCCCATCTGGAAAGAAGAGAGCACCGAGCTAAGAAATGGTGTTGACCTGGATTAATGGCGCCTGATAAGTCGTTCAAATCCTGTGGAATCGGAAATGCGCTGGACGGCTCAGACGACGATACAGTTTGGGATGAAGAGAATGAAGAGACGGAAGATGCAGAGGAGATTATTGACAATGAATTCGAGACCGATAGTGAAGGCGAAGAAGGAGAATAAAACGTACCTGCAGTAGTATTGATAGAACGGTTCTTTTCAGAACCACCAACTCGAGTAAAGTCAACAACCAATATTCCCAGTCCTTTATCTATTTATCTTGTTTTATACCAGGTTAAAGTTAGAAAATAGGACGTTCTTGAATTTTGTTGCATGAAAATAATTGGCTATGAGACGCACCCCGAATCTGAGACAATTCAAAGGTGATAAGGCAAAATTTCTTTGAAAAAATGCTGCGCCTTATAACCGGAAAAATACGGTACCTAGCATATCTATAACTGCACTTTGTTCCTTTAAATTGTCTACTGTGTGCAATTTTTTCGTCGATCGCTGTGAAATGAAGTTTCATAGCTCTAATTTTAAATATCAGAATTCATCGATACATTTACGATTCGAAATAGAAATACTTATCTAAGGAATGCGGAGAATAAAGATTGAAAACTTCAAGTTATCCTTAATCCTTTAACTCCCATGAGTGACCAAGACAGAATTTCTCCTTACAGTATCAATACAATATCAATCAAACAGGTTATGAAAAGGTTATGACAGGAAAAATTTAAGTTTGAGGATTTTCTGGTTGATCCAGTACCAATTTCTCAGAAGTAGCACCTGAGAATTGTATGAAAGACAGTGAGGAGAATTAAAAATAAGATCTTGGGCATTAAAGGGTTAAGATACGTAATCTCCGAGAATTTCTTTCTTTTTTAACGTAGTTATTTATTCATTAACTCAGCATCATCTATCTATTCATCTGTTTATTCATAAGTAATAACATAAGATGTTGGACGAGGCTGCTAATATTACAGTAACAAGATACTGTTTGACAAGTATCTTCTACGATATGAAACGTGAAAGCATCATGTAGCAAGCATTAAAATGTAGCGCACGAGCATTGAAAGGAGGCAGTTAAATGTGTCTTGGAACTAAACAGTGTTAATTAAAGAAGAATTTGTGATAATTTCATGCCATGAGTTTATTGAACTTCTAAAGTAGATTTAATCTTTAATGAAAGTCACTTAGTAACAGACAAGCCAGACCAACCTGTAGTTACGATAATTTGATCCTTAATGAGGACAACTTAGCATGTAGCTAACAAAAATTCTTAAGCAAGTACATGTATGCGATGTTCAGGAAAAGTCATTAAGATAAAAGATAGCACTTGCAACTTGTTAATTGCTAAACCAACAAACAAGAGAACGATCTCACTTAATAATAATAAAACAATAGTAATAATAATAATAATAATAATAATAATAACAACAATTTATTGACGGTATTTCTACTCGGTAGCTCTACATCCGTCCTACTAGCTAAAAACTAACGACTTACATAATGCATAATGCACCTAATGTTAATTTACTTTTACTACATTACATTTTAACAGCAGATTGAAATTCAGATCGATCGCCATCGACTAATCGCTATTTACTACACAATCGTTCAATGCAATAGAATGTTATTGGCGGACAGTTAAATCCATTGACCTAAGTAGAGTGCTAATTCGATTTAACGTCACTGCGAGGCTGCAATTCAACTGCCCGGGCATCGCCGACGTCAATTGAATTGACCTGTGGGCTCTTCCTTGTGGAGTCCTCCTTATTTGAAGTGGTAAAAACCACGTTCATCTTTCTTTTCAATCGCTCTCTGATCTGCAGATAGACAAGCAACAAACGATACATTTCTTTCAAATTTCATTCAAATAGTTATTCATGCTTAAACATTTGTGCTATAATGTGCACTTTCCTTATTCTTGACTTAGTTTTCTTTTCTTACCTGACTGTTTCGTAAGCCGTGTAGAACAAAAATCAGGAAACCCTGTTGCAGAAACATAATTTCAAGATCATCTTTTTACAATATTGCACTTAGGTAGGAAGCGGCGGAGCGTGCGTTGTTTGGGTATCTCAGTGCACAATGCATATAATAATCGTCTTCAAGAATCAATATATAATAGGTCTAACAAGACTGCTACGAATATATTTCGGGTCAAGTGAATAGTTAACAGGTTTTTAATTTTTTTTTTTTGTAATCATCTAATCATTGTAAAGGGTTCTCTCTTCGGTTAGAGCTGTGTAAATTGAACAATCTAGCTTGATGGGGTTTAAGAGTTTCAATCGGACACTCACCTGAGTAGAGTTGAGTATTGTGAAAATGTAAGCAAAAGCCTTTTGTATAGGCGAAAGAAGACCAAACAGCCACGTGACACCCAGTAAAGGAATCATCAGTGCGCAAGCTTTGATACCAATTCTAAGATCGACAACAAAATTGAAGGTGCATGCATAAGGGTTGATAATTTTTTTCGCAGTCTCATTAACAGGTATCGTAATAGCAAACTGGTCAAGGGATGAGGGAGCCGGGCGAACGTTGCCGTACGTACAGCTTGTTAAGGAAATTTGTTTTCATTATTTTGAATAATTTTGTGTTGTGAATCCTACCGTATTTGCTGAATATGGTCGTCTTCACCTGTTGGCTGCACCAAATTGGTCATCTCCTTTATGACTCGTACGAGTATCAAGATGTTGACCTATTAAAAATGCCATTAAAATCACTGAATTAAGTTTCTATACTTGGTAGTCGAGAAGCCAAGAGAATCTTAGTATAGAAGTTATTTGTTTAGTTTAGGTCGAACAAAGAAACATAGTGAGTCCAATAGAAAAATAGTGAGTAACTAGCTCGGTAAACCAAGCACCGTGAAATAAATTAATCATAAACTCACAACTTCGATGAACGTTACAAAGGAGATGAATATCCAGATCAGATTGTTGGTCGAAGACAGCCAACAACTAATAAAATTGAAAGACAAGAATGAAAGTCATCAGAATGAATTAAAAAAAAATACCCAAGGAAAAACGGAACAAGAAAAATAAAACGCACTTAACTTGATAGTGCGCGAGAGAGAGAAGAAAGGTAAAAAGTAACTTATTGATGTGTTTCTTACTATTTATCACTGACATAGCTTTGCATTCCTTCTTTCGCAGCAGCAATGCCAAGTGAAACGGCCATCATGATCATAGGGAAACCTAACCATAAATACAAAAAAATAAATTCAAAGCACTTGACTTGATGACAACACCAAATATGAGAGCACGGTACTACCTCCAATACATGTTGTAGTAAAATAAGTCATGGAAATACCCCATGAGATGACGTGATACATGCGCATCTTGGTGTTGATGTTGTAAACTTTCACAACGAACAGGTAGAGGTAGATTCCCTCGACCAGCATCCAGCAAAAGGCAGCCATCAGGAAATACTGTATCAGAGCTGCTACTGCGATACAAGCAGTCTGCAAAAGGAAATGTTTTGTCTTTCTGTGCTCTTTTCTAGAAATATTTAGAGCAGAAAGATTTGATGAACTAAATAAAAAGATCGGAGAAACCTCTCACCGTGTGTTCTGTGGCGTTTACTCCTGCGAGAAAAATTAGCTGTCCAACTCCGAGGGACACAGAAAGACTCAATCGAATCTGAGACAGAGGTTGACGGACATCTCTGGTGAAATGAAAGATGACGACAAAAAAGGCATGAGTAAAAAAAAGCAAACATAATCAAACAAAAATAATTCAAATGAAAAGTTAAGCAAAAAAAGAAAAACAAACAAAACAAAACAAACACCAAAAAAAAAAAGTCAATCAAAAGCTTCAGAATTAAAAGGCAAATAAAAAGCCAAGTTGGTATAGAATAAGAAAACATTAACGACTGAGGAAAGAGACCATGCATTGTTAATGCTCTTCTAATTGAACATGAAATGTAAAGTAAATTGGCTATTTAATCGACTTACTTTACCTTAATTTCGGAGAGATTAAAAGGAACATTTTGGATAACTTAAAGTTACCTTTATTCCTTAGTTTTTTTTTTCCTTTGTTGAGAAATTACAATCGATAGTAATTAGAAGAAGACTTGAGAATGTGTACTTCATCCATTATTTAGCCACCATACTTACGTAAAGAAAAAGTACAAGGCTGATGTTACAAGGACCCCGATGATCGACAAGCTTAATCCTACGTAGGTAATTATCTTCAACACAGTCTCCTCCTGTTTGGAAAGCTGCGTCACATAGCATAAAAAAAGAAAATAGAGACACGTGAATTAGCTCAATTAATCTACATGTATTACCAGTGCTGGAATAAGAACATACATATAATTGGTTACCTTTGTACCATCGTTGTAATCTAATAATACAGCAAAATGAGTCAAATGATTGCAGCTACAAACTGTTTCTTCTGAATTGCTTCTCGACGTAACTACATGGCATCCTTCGTCTGAAAATCCGTCGGAGCTGCAAAGGAAGCATAACCTCAGCAGGCAAGACGTAGTGTAGGAAATAGCCTTCCATGGTACCAAAAGAGTGAATTTCATCAAAACCCTTTTGATTTCATAATATCGATTACATTATTGGCAGTTCATTATTAGTTTTAATAAGTCAAGGCGGAAACTATTTACAATACTTCCTTGTTAGGCATAGATTCAAACTTTGATTAGGTGTATTACAAATTTTTAGACAGAAGTTGTCGTAGATAGAAGGATTATAGCTTGGAAAAATAATTTCAACAGAGAAAATCGTCTTATCAGGACAAATTTTAAGGGAAAATTAATGTTAAATTAAGGGGAAAATAATGAAACATAACAATTCTAGGTAAAAGTGTCTCCCGTGATAACCGGAAAATAAGAGGACATACAAATACAGCCAACAAGCAACTGGACAACGAAATTCACGAAAAATATTGACGGGAACAAACGGACGACCAAACAAACGAGAAAATTCTGAGAAAAGTAAATGATGTATTGCAATTTTTTTACCTTTCGCTGAAGCCTCTCCAAAACATGCAATTCTTTACCCTTTCTTCTATCTGAAAATAAAATCATCGTGGTGAGATGAAATAAAACAGCGCATTCCAAATAATCTTTTTTTACTTTCATGTTATTCAATCTTGCTTACCTTTATGTTTTTGAACTTCAAGACGACATTTTCTAGCAATTTTTTTGGTTTAGGTTCCATTGCTGCCATTATTATTCTGCTACCCAAATATCTGTGTACACAATGATTTGAAAATGAACCAGAATGTGACAAAAATATGGTGGTTTAAAAGAGTGGTAGCGGCGGTGACGATACCAAACTATTTGCATATCTTAGCCGATATTCTCTACGTGGGGAAGATAACGCCAGTCGACGCTATCCAGCAGATAAGTGTTAACAAAATGTTTTGCTCTATCTGCCGGATAGCGAATTATTCAGTGGATAACGTTAATTACCCTTCGAACAACCAGGGCCAGGTGTTTTGAGCACAAAGAAGACAATATTGTTACCTTGTGCTTCCTGTTCCATTCCTGTTGGGTTGACTTTTCGGCAGTATGTCTTGCAGATTCTTATATACGCACCCGACGACCACTGATCCTAAAAAAGGTAAATCTATGTATTTCGTTCTGGCTATAAAACAGATAAACCCGATGAGCGCAGGTTTTGGAAGCAAAGCCTGCGAAAGCTTGTGAACTGTCCTCCGTGAGAAATAACGTCAACGCTGTTTAATTGTAATCTGGTGTCGATACCTGTAACAATATTTCCAGACGATGTAACCTCTGCCTAACTGAAAAACTCTACATTATTAAAGCCGACAAAGCAAGCAACCTTAACAAAAGAGCTGAATTAATTTCTTAATGCTGCCACATCAGCATTACATCAGATTACAACAGACTTACTAATTAAATAATAACGTTATTTAAAAGTTTCTTCTGTTAGTGTTACATGCAACACAATCTTTCTTTTCGGAACAGAAACTATTCAAACAGCACGGAACTATCAAAGCAGATCTGGACACTCAAAGACAACAACACCAATTTTGCAATTAACTGGAGTATTTTAGCGACCGCCCCGGCCTACAGCAACAAAAGCAAGCGGTGCCACTTGTGCCTCACAGAAAAACTTTACTTAGTTAGAGCTAAGAAGCCGTCTTTATTAAACCAAAAAAAACAGATCTCATTTCTAAATGCCGCTACGAGAATAAGTTTTACTCAGCAAATTTCACAAGCCACCAGCAATAGCTCTATAGAATCTTTATTTCACACATAGATCAGATCATCATACTAGTGAATTAATTAGCTACTTATCTTATTTGTATTTAAGGAGGCATTCATTCATTGAATAAAGTTCTGTCTGACGAGCGCTTAGGCGCGAAACCCAGAGTCACAGAGAATCGATGCGTCCTCTTTAATTCTTTAACTTATGTATACTTAGCTTTGCTACCACAGCATTGAGCACTTTATGCAAAGATAGACACTACCCCCATATTTATATATATGTATATATATATTTTTTTCAGACTGAAGACAACAGGTAACACAAACCGTTATCTGCAAGATTTGAAGAGGCAATATTGATGTTCGTTTGCCATTCGTGTACGTCGAGGTAAAAGTCACTTGCATTTTGGCGGTCGGCCTTTTGGACTTCCAGCACTGAAGGATGAAAAGTAGACTTCCCGCTTATGGATGAATACGATTAAAAATTGAAGAATTAAGAGATAGACTAGATCCAACATAAGCGTTTGTAAATGACTCAGGACCCACTCAGTTGTTCTGAGGCCAATTGGCGCTCACCTAAAGTTAAATTCTGATCCGGGTTTCTTTATTCCTTCGTTCAAAAGCCATTTTGAGATAATTTTCTTCACTCTTTTTGAAGAGTCAAACAATCATCAAGATTATAGTCAATAGTCCAATAGAATTATGCTGAATTTTCTTTTATAGCTTTCATATCTGAAATCAGACTTCACATGAATCCTCGACTATCTAAACTTAGCTCAGAACAACCCAGCCCAGTTGTAAAAGACATTATCCTATTTAGGAGATAAAGTGTCAGTCACTCAGACCGTGAATAAGCATCGACGAAGAATTTTATTCACAAATCTGATAAGTGGTGGTGTTTTTACTCACCCATTTTGTGGCTTACAATCTTTATTGGAAGGTGATGCTTGCCATAATTAAGAGCAAATTTCTCGAAGGCGACAGCCACATTAAAGATGGATTCTCTTCCTTTCTGAAACTCGTCTATGGTGAACTGGCCTTCATGAAGTTTTGTCATATTTTCAAAGCTGACGATGAAGTTTTCAAACACGTTTACAGCCTCCTGAAATCACGTAAAACAATTTTATCCATGTGATTTTCAATAATATTATAGGGATCTATGTCAAGCGTGTGGTTCTAATTACTTATAACGTTGTTTTGTTACAAGTAGATACCCTTTTGCCATGTATCTGTTTAATAACAGTTGAAATTCTTATAGATCATTAACGACGCCAAAATGTGGTAAAACAAAGAAACTGATCATTGATTTGGTCAATACTCCTGAAGTTTTCTGTTATCCATAACCAAACAGACGCGCGGCAACTTGGAATCTACTTTATTTGATAAGCAGTGCAAACATTAAAAAAGGAACGACGAAGATGAGAGTTTTGATGTTAAAGAAGCGTGGAGAATGTGTCTAGTATTAATTCTGTTCCGGTCCTAGAACGATATAAGTATACAGAGTGTTGTTTAAAAGCTGTGTTTTCCTTGGCTCAGGTAGCCTTATCAAATTTCTTTCCCGCCCTCTGTCACTGTCTCTCTTTACATATAAAAGTACATATAAGCATATATGTAAATATGTACTCGTTCTCAAAACGTCGCTATTTGAATATATATATATATATATATATATATATATATATACAGTGCTGATGCTAGGATGGATACCATACACCCCAAGTGATCTCTTGGGATCATCTAAGCCATGCCAGAGTGCTCAAAATAGAAAAACTAGTGAGCATGCATAATGCTAGCAGCAATGACTCATCATATATATATATATATATATATGATACATACACCTTTCCTTCTTCCATTAGCTTCCGATAGAATAAATTAAAGGAAACGTTCTTCAAAAGGAAAATACAATAGCTGCTGTCAGTCTCAGTTACTCCATGTAACTCGTGAGTTACAGGGAATCATGCATGTTTCATTTTAGTCATTTTGAACTTTATTTCGCTGTACACTCACGTGTATTGAGCACTTTCCAACAGCTACAATTTCCCACAATTATATATACACATATATTTACATATTTTTTGGATATATTCTGTACGATAATATATTAGTTATTGGTAAAGTTAGATACCTGCAAAGAGGTCTTTTTGTTGCTATCAAGTCCGCGAAGTTTGGAAACATATTCATTTGCCTAAGATAGTGAAAGTGTCAGTTATTGGTATGAACTAATTACATTCTGAAACTTAACATGTACAAGGATGGTAAATAATCACAAAACTCACCAGCTTCTGAACTGAATTTGAAGGCGACGGCGATGAAGATGGTATTATCAAAGATGGCGATGGCCACAGCAAAGACGACAACGGAGACAGCGATGGTGAGGGCGAGGGCAATCGAAACAGAGACAGCGATGGTGATGGCAACAGTGAGGGCGACGTTCCTAAAGAGATCGATGGCGATAACAACGCTACTGCCTTTGCCGATTCTGATGGCCATACCGTCGCAGATGACAATGATGGCCCTGCTAATTTCGATGAGTTTTCAGGGAAAAAAATAAAAGTAAGGATATACCTAAGCGGATTTCTGTATTCTTTCTCGTACACAGTGCTATTACTAAACGTAGTTCATCCTCAGTAAGTTTAATGCCATTAAAATTTACACCTTCCCTTTTGATGATATTCAGCATCACAAAATGTCGTTGGCGTTGCGAAACATTGCATGTTTCTAGAAGAAATCTCTCTAGTCTCGTTTATAGGCAAACCATGCTGGACGAACTGATTAGTCCACCATAATTGCATCAATCTCAATTCTTTTAATTTCCGGTTCTGAAACCTTAAGTCTGACTATTTTGTGATGCTCGATATCAAAGTGGCTGGGATGGGTAGATCGAGTATTATGGTCTCCATTTTCGACTGCAAGTCATCCATAATGAATAGTTCATACACATTTGCGAAGTGGAAAGGAAACGTGACGCGCAAATCCAAGATCAATATATTTATGACAGTGTGGTCCATGATGACATTTCTGTCTCACTAAGGGCCTAGACAAGCGCTTCTCTGTTTATTGTGCGCTAAGCAGGCGCAAATTTGTCTTACCTTTGGGCATCTCACAAATGAAAGCTTTGGGATCTGTCCCCGCTGGATCAGTAGATAAGCCCTGTTCACCCGAATCAGACTCCCTGATTATAAATGCCACTCTATTGTTATTGCTTGGCTGGTTTGCTCTCCATTTACCGATAGTCAGTGGCCTTTCACTCACCCAAGTCCAATTTCTTTCCTTTTTTTCCAACCCGATGTACCACTCCGCAGTATCGCGATTTCGAATCTCGCCATCAATAAAGAACCATTCCTCTTCGGTTTCAATGGAAATTAGGTCAAATCCGCAGTCGCGACAATAATCTCTGTTAAACATCCATGTAAACCCAGAGGCCATAAACACGTAGCAGGAGTCCTTAAAACAATCTTCAAAATGAGAAAACGAGTCTTCAAAATAATCTCCATTTGGAGATTTATCGAAGGTAAACAATATTTCTTTAAAACGTGGGTCTCCTCCCATTTATTCACGAGGGTAAAGCTTAAATATGTTCATTATCACGATGTTCTTTGACACCTTTGCAACGATATTTCATTCATTACTGTGAGAAGCTCGAAAATTTTAGCGGTGATCGAAATTAAATTATCAGGCTTAGGTAGACCAAGAATATTGGCCATTTTAAAACTAAAATGAAGAAATTGGTTTGAAGCTTCCACACAATAAGGGAAATAAAGGTGCAAGGTTTTATCATTTTATCAAGGTCTGGTAGCACTTTTTTTACGCTCAAGGGCTTTGAGCACACCCCTAGTTTACTCAATTGTGTTGCGTCTTACCTTTGGTAATTTCACAAATTGAGGCATAAGGCTGATCCCGGTGGGTCACTTGAAATAGGCCCACTTTACTATCATTCAAAGACGTCTTGACTATTATTGCCACATCTCCGTCGTCACTTGGCTGGTTTTTATCCCATTTGCAAATGGTCAGTGGTTTTCCACTCACCCAAGTCCAATTGCCGGCTTCTTTTTCCAAACCAATCATCCACTTATTATATTTCCATTTGGGTTTTTGAATCAAGTCATTTAAAAAGTTCCATTCTTTTACGGTTTCAATGGAAACTAGGTCAGCCCCCTGCTTTTGACATAATATTCTGTTATCGTTCCAATTCGGTCCTTGGTTTTGCAACATGTAACAGGAATCTTCAAAACATGAAATCTGGCATTCTGGGAAAAAAAAAGACTAAAACAAATTATAAAATGGGAATAACTAAACACAAGAAAACATGGATAGCTTGTTGGCAAAGACCATCCACAGTTTTCATAATGTTATTGTTATTATTTGTTTTAATTTGGAAATGGTAGTTCTGGGATCAGAGTGAGAACAAATTAACAGTATTTATTCTGAGGCCTGAGGCATACTGTGGTTTTTAAGTGCACTTCGAAAATGATTAGCTTAGTAATTATTTTGATCTTGATAAATCTCTCAGAGTTTTACCATGTTTCCCTTTTATTCTCGGGAAAGTAAATACATGTTTGTTAGAGTCTTAATTAGCACTTCTCACCTGATCCATATAAATGCTTTGTCAAAGTCAGCATTACTGTAAAGGGAAATTTAAAAAAATTGTTTTTACATGTGTTGGCGCTGAAAAGTTACTTGTCTGACCAGTTTGCGTGGCAATAGATGAATGCACTCATTCGGTGTGTTTTTCATTACAAATAGGAATTTTAAAATAAGACATTTTTACCTAAAAGACATCTAAGAAAACAAATTAAAGAGTTGTATTGACAAATGTCTTTGGCCACTCAAAAATTAGCAGGTAAAGTATACTAAGCGCTGCACACTACATGGGGATAAATATCCTAAGAAAGGTTCACTCGTGTATGCAGACTTACTGTAGTCACAGTAACTATGTAATCTCCAGATTTTATGATTAAAATTCTTTCAATAGCAAGGCCTCACCTCCCACCCCCCACTTAAAAAAAAACTTGAAATAGGAAAAGGATGAAATACTTAATTTTTGGGAAAATCTCTTTAATTCACAGATTTCCAAATAAATCAAAGTAATACCAATTAATTATATGAGACCCTAAGCGAACTTCGTGAGACACGTTCGTCCACGAAAACTTTATTTTCGTTGGGAATTTCGCGTTCAAGAAATTGTCTCGGAAGATGATTGACACTTGACATTAAGGGTTCGTTCCTTTGGGAGAATCCGGATCAGGATTTCTGATCTGTAGCGTTCCTTTCGAGCAAATCCATTTTCAGATCAGTGATCTATCAAATGCATTTTGGGAAAAGGATCCGAAATCAATCATTTTGCGCAGCGGTGCTCAATTACAAAGAAGTAAGTACTTCAGCTGCTCTATCCGCGACGGCCATCTTGTTTTCGTTTTTAAATTTAGCGCGCGATTCCGCTGAGGTGCTCTACAATTTCCCGGTTGCTGTCATGGTAACTGATGTGATGAACTAAAGCTCCGTTCCTTTGATGCACCGTGATCTGTGTAATCTTGGATTACAAATCCAAATCCGGATCCTCCCAATTTTTAGAAGACACGACATATTTGTGATAGTCATGCGCAGCCGACTTCTTCAATAGCACGTGTACCAACGAGGCGCCCTTCAAAAGTAAAACTATGCGCAAATAACATATATGAAGATTTTCCAAAACCGTCGCTCAAACCTTGTCAGGTATGAAACATCTCAATTTAGTTTCTGTTTAAAGAATTTTATCAGATGTTAATGAGGCAAGATTCCGCGGGTAAGAAATGAATTTTCGATAACTTATGGTATGCATGTGCTGCATCCCTAACTTTGCTTCCGATAGAGAAGCTACAACACCAGACCGTTATTGTGTAAAATTTTTTAATTCCAAATCTGCAACGCTGTAAAAGGTCCATTCACGTAGTTGTTTCTTTTCAGAAATGTGCGACATAGCGACCATCTCTCTGTGTTTAATGTAAGACTGCAAATATTTTCCGGTCAAAATGCCTGCCACCGGACAGAAAATGATCAACGCTTTGAGGTTTTTGGCCTTTGTAAGCTACGGAAGACTAGACTTCAATCTTTAAACAACGCTAACGAGCTGTATGCGGGCTCTCCAAAACAAACGCAGTTTTTAAGTCACATTTGGTAGCTGACTAAAATAATTTCGACACGTCCTCTGTGCTAAGAGAATTCTCAGAAGGTTAGGATAATCCTCGAAAGTTATGTAATTCCTTGACAGCCTCTTGCAATCTACCTTTCTCCCAATCCAACCTTCTCTTGTGTTTACCAAGTCTATGTCAACGCAATAAAACCTCTCTATTTTTCAGACATTTCTGTTTAGTTTTCCACAATTTATCGAGACTGTCCCGAGTGATATCTTCATTTGCATGATCCTTCTGAAGATTCCAAGGGCAATTTGGATAAATTCAAACAAAACAAAACATGCTAAAACTTGATTTTAGATACAAACATATATTTCGATGAATTTAATACGATCAGAATAGCAACTTTCCTCTCCTTGCTAAAGGGTAGCGACAAGTTTTTCAAACATGGTTTGCTCTTCCGTCAGATAACCGATAGTAATTAATATTATGATGTCATAAAGACTAATTAATTGGGACTAAGCTTTAGGTATCAAATCACAAATAGATCACAGTGGTTGAGGTTAAGTTAAGCCTAGAAATCATCATTAAAATGGAGACAGAACTGGATAAAACCTCCATCACTAGGAAATATCGATTCGGCCCGGCTCGAACGGTGAGACATCTGTCAAACCTAATGTCAACTTCAGTCAACTCAAGTGCCCGTATTCGGCCAGTTAATTAAAAACCATCGATCATTCCGAGAGGCCACTTTACAGGTGAAAGACGAGAGCACTATCACAGCCAAGCGACTGCGTTCATATGATCCTTAACATCATTGCTAGAAATAAAACTGTTGTGCAAACCGTCATAACCCAACAACCATGGTTTAAAATGGTCGCTACATCTTTAAAAATATTAGATTTTGTCATTCTAGCTGATTGTTTTCAAATATTTAAGTCTGCATCGTACTGAAATAAAGAAACGCAAAATAAGTCTTACCAAATAGCCTGATTCTTTTTCCAAAATTATTTTCATGATTTTGTGAAACCACTTTTCTACAGCATTCTGATATAAGAGATATAATTTAGCTGGTACTTACTCAGCGTGCAACTTATAAAAAGCGCGTTGAACATATGTATTTTTCTGGCTTTGATTCCACCCATTATCCAAATTCATCAATACAAACTATGGATATGTTGCTGTCAATTGTTTTCATGAGATTGCTGTAAGTTTCTCTCGAAGGCTGCGCATGTGCAACATATCTTTCAAACTCTTTCGAACTCTCTTGCACTATGTAATTTTGCATATCATAGGCTTTGATCGCTTCGCGTCACCAAGGTTGTATTCTTTTTGTGTACCTTAGTAAACCAGCCAAGTAAACCGCGGAGTATTTGCTCCAGATGCGGATAATTATTTTATTGAAGAGAAATAAGAACTTCATGACAGCAAAACAACCTTTTTCGTTCTAGTTTTATGGAAGTGCATATCGCAATGGTGTAAAATGTTTTCATTTCTTTGATTGTCGTCGGTTCATTTACCAAAGCGCATATGCAGTGTTTTTTAACGCGTTTTGAACTCTATGTTCGAGTTTCGTTTGATGCACGCACGGTGCTAAGTACGTCGTAACTCTCGATGGGACGGTCTTCTCGACGAGACATAAGTCATAACGTTAACTTGGTTCTTCTTAAATTGAACGACTAATTAAAATGAAGGCTCTAGGCAATAGATGATAAGTATTGTTTTGCTTCGTAAAAACAAGAATTCATAAACTGTATCAACAAAGCTAATATTAAAACGTTTCAATAAATGGTATTTTCTAATGTATTAGTAAAATAAAACTGCAATCATTAAAAACTGGTCAAGCAGTCTCCGACTCTAAACGATAGTCGGTTGTCCAAGTAATTACATATTTTGTCTGTTGCTAAAAATTGCGTGAGATTTTCTGGAATAATCTAATTTCTTGTTATACGTAATCAATTTTTTTGCAGGTGTCTTCCGCTCATTAATATTCCCGTATGGTTTATTTCAACACGCTATTGTTATTTCTACTTTTGTCAAGTAATTCAGTGGTTTCTAGCTCGTTGAATTATTATTTTTGTTTTAGCAGGCATGAGATATCCAAGAATTTTTTCCAATCGCCGGGTCATTAATTTCTGCATCTGCCTAATCTAATACCTGTTAAATCAACAAATAAAAAAGGCTAGACTGTGCTCTGTTCTGTCTCCAAGCACGCAGGAAGCGCCTAGAGCGCGAAAATCTTCCCCTACTTGCGAAGAGAATTTCTAGGATTGCTTCTAAATCGCTCGACTTCCGTCGCTTAATGAAAAACTTCTAATGTTTCCGGCTGCCATCTGATACATAAACGGGGAGCAATAATGTACGTGATTCTCTTTGCACATCTTGTCGCCACAGCTTTGAAGGATGTCAATGAAGCTATAATTGTGTTTCTTTTATTCTACATGTGGCTCCTTAGAGCCGTTACACAGATTGCCGCAGCGAAAACAACATGAATAACAATGACTTTTCCATTGTTTTTCAATCATTTGGCATTGTATGGAAACTGAAAAAGAGAAGAATCGCCATCGTTTTCTTTGATAATTGCCACCTGACAAATCTCTTGTGTCAGTTTTTTTGCCTGAGTGTCACAGGAAGTTCCCAAAATCGATAAAAACTATTCGCAAGTAGAAAGTCAAGTCTATAGATCTCATTTCTACGTTATACCTGAAGGAAATAAGAGAGGTGGTACTTACCCAGAGCACAACTTCTCAAAAAGGTTTTGAACATTTTTCTGGATTCGGTTTCACTTATCATCCAACTCGTCAAGGCCACTATGTACACAGATAGTTATCAGTAGCTGTCGTTACGTTACATTGTATTTGGGAGCAGCGCATGAACGGTATTTCCCTCAAGCATTTCAAACTCTTTAGTATTAGCTAGATTTAGATGCAAATCATAATACTCGGTAGAACGTTCGGAACGTGAGTCACCATTTTTTTTTTCCTTGGTCGGACCTATAGACTGAAAGTAATTTGCAGCAGGTGCGTAGTACTGTTCGTCTTCATAAAAGTTAGAAATTCACGACATAAAAGGACTTTTTACAATGGGTTGATTTCTACAATCAACCTATCGCCGTTAACTAAACGATTTTACTGCAATCGACTGCCATTTCCAGTTGGTTGAGTTTACTTTTTTAAGTTAATCATGAATTCCATTTCGGTTCAAATTCATTGCAATACTGTACTGCCATTCAACCGTCCATACATCCCTGACACCTCTTCGATTGATCTGTAAGTTTTACTTTGTGGAAATTCACCTTCCTCGACGACAGAAAGACAACGTTTATCTTTTTATCTGCGGCTTTGATCCGCAGATTGACAGGCGGAATGTTATTAGTTTTGTTAATATTCAGTATCTTATTCATACCTGAAAACTTCATTCTATGCACTGTGTATATTCGCAGTTTATTGCTTTTCCTAATTGCGGGTGTAGGGAGTCACCATTTTTTTTTTCTTAGTTGGACCAATAGACTGAAAGTAATTTGCAGCAGGTGCGTAGTATTGTTCGTCTTCATAAATATTAGAAATTCACGACATAAAAGGACTTTTTACAATAGGTTGATTTCTTGTTTGAGCAAAAACATTACATTACGGATCGCCGTTGAAATATTTGCTGCTTTGAATTAATCAATATACGCTTACGAGCTCGCTGAAAAGGCGTGAATCTGGTTCGTGGCTGGTCAAAACATGGTTGAAACGGCCAATTAAGGAACTCGCAGTTAGTCGCGCAGGGATCTTTGCGGCTCAGTATTACTCGTTATTTTTTTAGGGCATCGGAACATGCGCAATTAGAGCTATACACCTTGCGGAAGGAATAACAAAAAAAGATGACTTTACATAATTTTTGCATATTCTGAAGCACGTTCAAGGATATATCACTGGGTTCTTTGTCAATCAAGGTTTCCAAAGGTCTCCTGTCGTCAAATATTTAAAGCAAAAATATTAAATTCTTGTGATCACTTATAACTTAACTGGTACATTCCACTTTACTTGATTTCTGCCGAAGAAATCGATTAACGTTCAAATTGAGACCAGAATTTTATCGCTCATTAAGTTGCAAAATATGATGAAAAAATGACTCCTGTCACCAGTTTAGTAGTCAGTTAGCCTTGCGTAGCAGTCGCATAAATTATCGAGATTGCATAGAAAAGAAAAGGGTAACCGTGCCTGGGGCATCATTACCTGGCTAATGATCATTGATGCGGACATAATTTTTCGTGCTTTGAAACCATGGAATTAAGGTTGGTTATCTTTAGTTTGATTTAATTCATAATATTTTAGGTTATATATTACTCTGAGGGCACGATAAACTCTATTAATTTAATGTACAGAAGATTGAGTTAAAGAAAAACAGCGACAATCTGATGCACAAAGAAGCGGTTTTTGACGTCGTAGAATTTCAGTTACAGTTACAGGAAAAAAAAGAGGGATAGTGGTTCAGAAGGATCTAGAACGAGAGTAGAGCAGAGTTGCAAATGTAGAAAGATAAAATATCGAAATATCATAATTTCCAAAGAACGGTATACACACTCAAGGACTCAAATATAAGAGATCCTGGCAGCTATGAACACTACTGAATTCAGGCCCATATGGGATTTGAACCCATGACCTCTGCGATACCGATGCAGCGCTCTACCAACTGAGCTAACAAGCCAACTGGGAGCTGGTCTTTATGTTGGGTCTAAATAAACCATCCAAGTGATGAATAATGATTGTGGATATATAGTATATATCAAGAACTATTCCTTGCGCCGCGAACCTCTGCGCTTTTCAAGATTCCGAGAAAGCATTCCTTGATACACGCATGCTAAGCCATGAAAAAATGTTTAACTTAGGAAGAATATGATTAATGTCTTGGGGTAGGTAATATATTAGTTAATGAACGATCTCAGGAGTAGGATAAAAAAATGATGATCTAATTAGAAGTGTTTGCAACCAGTGCTTGGACTGGTCAGGATAAAACGCAGACTGTGGATCGTGCAGACCGCGCAGACTAAGAAATTGTTTTGTTTTGTTTTTTTCTTTTTTTTATCTGACGAAACTTGACAAGGTTATTTCGAGTGTGTGTGAAATAAAAATTAATTGGACAATTTCCAGGTAACCAGCAGACGGGACTCGAGGTTTCATCGGTAATTTTTAATTTTTTTTAAATTTATTTTACCAAAAATCGAAAATATAGGAAAATATATGTCACTGTTGGTTTGCATTTATTGCTCTTTAGAACTTGGAGCCTGACGGAATAATTTGGTACGGTTGAAAGGCCGAGGCCAGCTATGATGAATTCCCATCAGATGGAAAATAAACAAAAAAATTTGAGCACACACCTCTTAAGCGTATTATTTGATCAAGAAACGAGGCAAAACGCTATTCCTAAATTAAAATGTTTTTTTTTTACAGTATTTGGAGTTTGTAGTTGATACACATCAGTAACTCTCCCACATTTGTAGAATGTTCTGCCGGAAAGTGATTAAAGTTTTATTTCTTTTATTTCGAGCCGTCATGGAAGCATTTAGTTTTGTTTTAAACTGTAGAAGCGAAACGAAGTGCTTTCATCTGGCTCAAACTTGAGTTGTAGTAGTTGAATCACACTTCAGGAGAAATGTGTTTAACAAGGCACACAACCCATCTTGCACAAGAAATGTAGCGGCATTCAAAAGGCGCTCGTTATTTGTTCATCACTACTTATCATTAAGTCACAAACCAGTTCCCAGAAAAGATTTTTTTGCCTTCCATTTAACGTCAACCTAGGCGTAGAATAAAAATTTTTAAGTGAGAAAACGTAATTTGGTTTGTAAGAATGAAAAAAAAAACATACTGGTAAAATTGGGTACCTATCTAAGTCGATTGCGTGATAGGTCATGAATGAATTTGTTAGTGTCTCACAAGCTGAAACAGCTGAAATTCTATAGAGAACAAAGTGCGGACTGCTCGGTCTGCATTACTCGTCTTATCATGACTGGTTTTGAACCACAGTGGGCTGCCACGGGAAGTTGCTGCATCGTATAGTAATTTTGAAACAGCTTGCGAGCTTCGAATTTCTTTGCGTTGCTATTTAGGACTTCAGAGATTTTCGTAGTTTGGCGTTGATTTCTGTTTGGAGTGGTTTGGAGTGGAGGCGGTTTTAGCTTGCGGCCCTTGTCTCCCTTTCTTCTCTTAACGGCCTCCGGCCAAAAATGATTTCTTAAAAAGACGTTTCAAACGGCCATGAAGGGTGCAAAATATCACAGATACGTTGATTAATATTTCAGTTAACTTTATTGAGATATTCAGACCGAGATTTAGATATGCAAATATCAGAGCTTTCTTCATATTCATAACTCTCATATATTTTGTTCGTCGTATGTCAACAATTATTTAAGTATAACCACGAACACATATTGTGGTCTGCCAGACATGACCAAGGTACCGATCACCTCTCAGAGACTGTTGGGTGACACTGGTGTTGGTATATCTTAAGTCTTTCTCCTTATCGTCTCTAGAGGTTTGGAGTCTTTTCCGTCCCCCTACAACCATTTGCCTTAAAGTAAACAGCTCCATCTTAGAGGTCAGCCGCATCAATTTGGTGGGGAAATGATCAGTCCACCAATACTGTACATTCGGAGAAGAGAAAATTGTCTCGAAAGCAAGGTTCGTGGAAAACTGTTCGCTTTGAGAAATCAATGCTGTCCAAGAGCGGTAACCTAGGAATATTTTCGAGCCATAAAGAGGCTGCCGAAATTATAATCCTTCAATTTTTCGAGGCACGCGGAAAAAATCTCTTAGAAACAGCTTAACGTCAAAAACCTCTAAGGCTGGTTTTCATTTGCGACAGAGTCGGAGTTTTAATTAGAAACACAAAACGATACAATCTTGTGACGGAAAATCATGCCAAGGAACCAGAAGAAAAATATAGATGCCAACCCCGTTTCCTATCATCCATTGAAAACTGGATTAAAGCAGTCGTACGTCATCGAGAACTGACAATGTGATTGATTTGTTTTTTCCGCTTCCGCTTTGTTTCTGCGAAATACATCAGTTTGTGTTGGTCACCCTGTTGTTGAAAAATTTTGATTGCGTTACACTGTTACACTGTGCGTCTTTATACGCCACAGTTATGGCATTTTGCCTGCTCTTCTTTAGATCCAATCTTTTAATCCTCATAAAAAAATAGAAGGCTGATGAAAATACTGGAAATTCGTGAAGCAAATATCATTGCTTCAAAATGAATAGATATGTTAGTTTTGAAGCGGAACATTTCGTAAGCATCCTTCTAATTTGCATAATTGCATATAACATGACATGCTCGGTTTGAACGGTTCAAGGTCAAATTTTTCCCGGAATACGAGCTCTCGAAAATCATGGATGACTATCAAAGCATCGCTTCGAAAGGACAACGTCTTGCCTTTGCTCACATTCTCGTTGGGTTTGCCCTGATTGTTGCCGGCATTCTGGACAGATTACAGCTGGAGTCTTATTTTGGTTATTCATGTTTTGGGATTTGGGTCGGCATTTGGGTAAGATGGAATGTGGCAATGCAATATTTTAGTGAATGTTGCACTAAAGTCATCGCGAGAGTATTCCGGGCGTTAAGATAGAATTAGAACATTTTGAAAGTCGCTGAAAGATGTAGCTTCGGAGACTTTATTCGATAGATTGCCTAATGTCTCACTCGCTCGAATCGTCCATACAAGTTGGTATTTGAAACTGTGTAAAAGTGTTGTGGTTTGAGTTATGCTGATTAGCAAGTACACATTATCTGTCTACCTTCATTCACACGAGACTAAGACTAAAAGTTGGGCAGTTTGACAGCTTTCATTAGCCACAATAAAACAAGCGAGTTAAGTTACAGAATAGACGTGAATGGCTTTGATTTGAACGGACAAACAGAAAATAAAATATTCCGGCTAGACTGTAAGTTGTTTCCCATTACCCAAGATTACGCGATTAAAACAAGCACTCAAAATAAATTGAACAACTATTTCCAACTAATGTCCGTTTTCTTTCAATCGAAGTTTGAAGGCAATTTACATTTATTATGACTCTTTTCTGTGCAACCGGAAGTCATTTGACCTTTGACCAAGTATGTGTGAAAAAGCAAGCATCGACACGAACTGCCTTACACGTACATAATCGTGTTTATACAAAAATAAATCTGCAGTTAAATAAATCGCTTGTACGCGTTTCATGTTGCAGAAGCTCTACTAGATGAAATCATCAAGTTAATTTTATTTTATTCGATTGACTCATACTCATTTATAATTTATATTTACGTTAGGTCGCTAAATTTCCATTTAAAAAGAAAAAAAACAAAGCGTGAGTATTTAAGAAGAGTCGCAAAAGTCTAACTTTGTGCTCTACTGCTCATATGACTTATTACGCAACACTGAATGTTAAGGCCTCTTCTACACTTATGTGTAGCTCGATTCGCAAACGTTGGCTCGCTCGACGAGGAGGGAAGGGGACAAAGCGATATTATCATCATTTTTAAAAATACCATTATGCTAATCTAAAGCTTTTATCGTAGATGTGTATCACAGGAGGCCTCGGTATCTCTGCTACTAAGATGTTCAGAACGTCAACAACCAACTTCTATGTAAGTACATGTACATCTAAGATTTTGTATAGCGCAATTCCGACAACCGCTTGGGAACTTGCTATTTTAAAAGCAAGTTCTAGAAACGTTTGAGCTCGCTGATTGGCCAGCTTGGAGTTGAACATTGCTAAGTAATATTCACTTCCGAGTTGCCAAACGCACGTCAGGAGTTTAGTTTCCGATCATTTTTCGGTACAAGGACTGAAATAAACTGTATTTTTTCTTGTTCAGTAAAAACAATTATTAATCTCAGAGTTGGATGGAAATTTACCTCCGATTCGGTGATTCGATATCATTCAATATTTTATTGTGAATACATAAACAATGCTGCTACTACTTAAAAGACTGCGAGCGTATACCAGGCATTGTTATATTCTGGAGTCTGTGTAAATACTCGTATTACAATGCTAAAACAAATTACGCTATTTATCATCTCACTAACAATTGTACAAAATAATTCAAATCCTCTTTGTTATTCGTCGTGAAGATTTTGAATAATTCAATTGTTAAATGTCGAATATTGACTACAGACAGACCAAGAGAGAACCTTTCATTTTATCTCCTTAAGGCGGCCCTGTTTATGGCATTTTCCATAGTGTCGTCCGTTAGTGGCCTACTTATCAGCTCCTTATATGGAGCAACAGAATTGAGAGCTTTTAGTATAACCATGGTAATCCTTGGTGCTCTTGAGTTTGGCATTGGAATTGCAGCGTCTGTGTGCTGCTGCTTGATGAAGCCTTGTACATGCTGTTGTTGTGTCTCCCCAGCTGAGGTATTGTCTGTAAAATAATTCAAAGAAACGTTTAATTTGAGTTTGTTTGAGTGATCATAACAAATGTCTAGCCTGCTTAGCCCGTCCAACTGCCCTACTTCATTACTCTTATATGCCTACTTACCTTCCTTCCTTCCTTCTAACCTGTCTACCTATTAACCTTTCCAGCCTCTAACTTACTAACCAACCCACCCACCCACCAGCCTGCCTGCCCACCTACTGCTCTACTTCCTCGTGGACTCACTTATCTGCCTACGTACCTACTGTTTTACCTAATTACCCACAAACCTTCCTACTAATATACTTTTTCACCAACTCACCCACCCACCTACTTACTTACTTACCTTCCTACTTACCTACTTACCTCCCTACCTACCTACCTACTTCCTGACATACCTCCTTACTCACCCTCCTATTTACCTCAATCCCTGTCCATCTACCAACCTGCTTACTTACTTACAAAAGTACCTACATAAACATTCCCTATTTAGCTACATATGTCCTCAGCTACCTAACTGTTCGACCCGCTACCTGCCCAACTTCTCACCCACCAACCTGCCTACCTACTTACGAACCTGCCTACCTACTTACTAACCTGCCTATGATTGAACCCACGTAACTGCCCACCTACCTACCCTCTTGCTTACTCATCAACCCGCCTTCCATCCTACCTACCCAGCTACCTACGTTGCTTATCTCTACCTACCCACCATACTAACCACCCACCTCTCTACCCTTCTACTTACCCACCTTCACCTTACCTACCCACCTTCCTAGCCACGTGCTTAACTTCTTGTCTATTTTCATATCCAGCCACTAAGTAACCCACCTGGTTACCTATTGACTTACTTGTCTATCTAACTACCCATCGACTACCTCCTTTCCTGCCTCAAACCTTTTCAAAAATCTATCGGAAAGATCTTTGTAAACAAAAACCTCTATTTTGTGCGAAAATATGTGCAGATATTTGTGCGCGAATATCATCTGTTCCAAGATGCGAATAGTTTTGCGAGAGCGGATCTGCAGGAAAACTAAGAGCTTCCAAGAACAAATCATGTCCAAGGACAAATATCAGTTCATATTTCAAACAAAATAGAGGCTATTGTGTTCATTATCCTTCAAAGATTTTGCAACGTCCGGGAAAAATGCTTACGAACAGCTTACCGTATGCAGCGTGGGTTGTTTTTTTTTTAGTGATTTCCAGTACGACTTATGCAAAAAAAAATTCCATTTTTCTGTAACAATCACAAAACCCTATACAATCTTGAATAAAATTTGAAACTTATACTTATCATAACAGAAATTATGTTTAAAAATTGGGAACTATCACTTGGGTGATACTCTCAGATATAACCCAGTTTTAGCTTGAGTATCTTCGGTCTCGCGTTGCGTTTAGATCAATCGCGGGCGAGCAAAAATTTTTGATGGATCGTAATTACATAAACACACACCCTTTATAGTCCTATTACATAAAAAAATGTACCTTCCTAACCTATCCCACCCACATATTTATCAATATACATATTTGCAGAGCACTACCTCCTTTTCAATGTCATAACTTCCTTCCTTTTGTCTCTTCTCATCTAAAATTTTTAGAGACGACCTTTGGTGCATCCACCACGTGTTCAGCCCATATTGGTTGACAGGCAAACTAACTATGTTGCCGTCGTAGTCCCTCCGTGAAAAAATCGCACTCTAGGAATGTGAAACTACGTGAATCTCAAGATCATCAATCCAAATGTTTCAATAATTTTTTTCTCGTCATTTGTGAGTTGACTACTTGAGAGACTAAAAAGAAACCTAATAAAAAAGTGATATCGCATTTTAATAAACAGGCGTGGATTCATTTCGTAGCTTAATTCATAATGACAAAGGCATTATAATATTTACTTTCTTTGATATTTTTTTTTAATCGGAAATAAAACTAGTCTTATTCAACTTGTTTAACTGAAAGTCTTATTTTTGCTTTTTGGACGTTTTTTTTTTGTTTTGTTTTGTTTTGCTTTTTGTGTTTTTTCTTTTTTTTCTAAAATATGTTTTTTTTGTTTCACTTTTATTTTTCAGACTATTTAAGACTTGTTTTATGTTAGAATTGCGGTTTTTTTTTAAGTGTCACCTTAGAGTTTTACATCTGTTTAATCGCGAGTTTCTCCCATAAAATTCCTTATGAAGACGAGAATAAGAACTAAAAAGTTAGTAATCATTATGTTGATTCATTATTTGAAGTAAAACCTTCTCAAAAAAATGTCTTGTAGAGATATCGCAAAGCCTTCTCAACAAGAGTCCTCTGGGGATAATGTCTATGATAAACTCAGGAAGAGACTACTACGACATTCTTTAGTAGAAAAAAGTCAGCACTATAGCCAAGTGAATCACCTCGTTAAAAATTCACCCCAGTTCCCTAGGTATTGCTTTTCTTCCCGGATGGGATGATGATCCGAACCAAGTTTACCTCTAATTCGTCCGAGCTCCATGACACTTCGCCGGCACTCATTAATATCCCTGAGTGGAGAGAGGGACTATGGAGAGAGGGACAGGAGGGTGGAGAGAGTCACTCGTACTGTATGTGAGACTATTCAAAGTGTCTTTCCAAAGATCTTGCCATGGCTCGAACCCAGACCTCTTAGCTCAGCGCGCCAATTGGCCGTGCCATGTGCCGTTAGGCAGAATACAACCTGCTAAACATTTAAAGCGCTTAATAACTGAGATAGTTCTTGAGCTCCTGTAAAACGCCCATTTCGTTTACAACTCAAGAAATCTAGTGCACCTCTACTGATTTAATTCATTTTATTTTGACAATCCATATCATGTCAACACTATCAAATGTATTTGCAGATTTTGTATTTAATTTTTTCTCAGAAGGCACGGTAACGAATCCTGCAATCTGACTGGTTCTTAGTGCGGTCTGGGTTTTCATTATATTTGGCCACGAGCACAGTAACTTTCGTGAGTCGCCGAGTATAACTCTAACTTCCTAACCATTTTCCAACAATATATTTTGTTTTGCCGACAGTGCATTATTTTTAAGCAAGTTATTTTTACCAAATAAAGCCGATTAATAACTTATTTATCGTCTCTTTTCTCATTCTCAAATCTCTTTGATTGCCGGCAGAAAATTGTTTTCGAAATTAGTTTGTAGTAGCATATTTGTGATTAAATGGGTTGACCTTAATCCTTCACAAAATGTAACTCAGAAATTTAAAACTGAGATATTTATTGACAATTGAATTAATCGATAAGACTTTCATTCATTCAATGTCTGAATTTTCTTAAACTATTTTTTCGTTGTAACGAAGTTTTCAGTCCTACTTCAAATACACTTTCGGTAAGTCTTTCCGAGTCGACCTGTTCAATTTACCATTTGCACTGTAAATTTCATTGTCAAAACCATATGAATTCAACGGGCGAAAGCGGCGTTAGCTTCCCCTTGGGTCTACTTAAAGTGTCTCATTTGTCTCGAGTTACTTGGTAGAAAAAGACAAGAATTTACACGCTCCGTCGTTTCAGAGTTTGTTTGAAGGCCTTTAAATCACCTTTATCGCTACGCAAATGAAGATATTTCGACGAGGTCTATCTCTTTAGCTTGCATTATCTCTGTTTTAACTACCATTTACTCTATCAGAAATAGTTCAGTTTAATGAGGATCTTTCCGTTATTACAGCCCTAAATTATTTGGGTTATTTTGGCCGGAATTTCATGAAGTTTTAGAAAAAAAAATTAAAATGTTATTCACCACGTTAGGTCGCTCCGTATTGGGAAAAAAATGTGCCCTCTGTCTTGAGCACCGCACTCAGCCTACGGCCTTGTGAGTTACTCAAGACTTGGCAGTTTTTCCCACTATAGACCTCCCGGCTGGCGAATAACATATATGGCTCCACTTAGACACAAAAGGTTAGTTAGATCGACGCTCTAATGAAGTTTGCCTTACATTTTATGAGACAGCACTGTATTTTTTCCCTCTTTTTCTGCCTATTTACTCTCTATTCAGAGTTGACTAATTTGTTTATGAATGTATAATACCTCAAACAAGCACATGGAAGTGAAGACAAACACTCCAAGAGGTTTCTGATTCTCGTTGTGTTTATTTCTGTTCGTTTGACGCTAATTATTTTTGATTTGTCTACAGAGTTCAACCTGATAATGACACGCGCATAATTCATGGTGAATTGTAGATGTTTTTTGTGGTCAAGATCATCACAAGTACGCCCTTGATTCATTTTTCAGAAATTTTGCTTTTTGACTTTAACTATAAATTGAGTCAATAAATTTATTTCGTTAATTGGTAGTTTGAAGCGCACAGATATGTTAAACACTCCACTAAATATTAGGAAATTTTACGGACAGAAACGCAATGAATCCCACTCGAAACATTTCGATTCCTACTCTAAAAAACTCAGTGTGACTCACTGGCTTTAAGCTTAATTTCGTCATCGTGACTTAGTTAGACGCGTAGGAAATTAAGCATGGTGCGGATGCACAATGCAATACCGATAAATGTAAAATAACCGTTATAATACTGGTCAAGAGAAACGCTTTTATGGGTACAATGATAAGTTACATGTAAAATTGTTTTCGGGGCCTAATCAGATGGTACAATTTGCACTCCTGTCCTCCTGATGGACACAGTCGTGGTCTCCCCATTCATTCCGTCTACAGTGAGATAACCATAGATAGGCATATGACTTATTCCATCCAGATCGGACCAGATCCCTGACCGCGTCTAGAACAACCATGAGCCTGACATGCATCAGAGAAGCCAAGCTGACGACTTATGACGTTGGCCTTGTTGATTTTCCAGTGATCATCAGACACTGTGAGAAAAATTAAGAGTGCCGATTTTTCCTGTTGAACTACATGCATGCCTTGATGTAGGGGAAAATAAAGTAACTTAGCTCCATTTTCCATATATAACCAAAAATGTGCTACCTAAAATTTCTTTCATTTGCTCTGACGAAGTGCAAACGCCACTCGAAAAGTCAGGTGACCACTTATGCAAAAGATCGTGGTGATAAAGAGCTTTTCTGAATGGCCTAGAGCGTTCTTTGGGAACCATAACAAAATTTAGTGTATAAGTAGACACTCTGATTGGCTACTAAAACTCCAAATATCCGTTTCTATTCACCTCTTACTGATTTGCTTAGGATTTTCGCTCCGAAAATAGTATAACCATGGCAGTAATAAATTAGCTAAAATCATATTTCTGTGTACTATCTCGCCATTTTAGTGTACACCAAAACAACTGTTCACCTCAATGTCGGTGGCTAGCAATGGATATTTACCTTGCCGCTTCGCCCCCACCAGCCATTTCCACTCAGGTGAGTAGTTGTTAAGTATTATTTCGAACTAAATCTACAAGAGATACTTAATGGCACTGCCCTTTAAAGCACTTATTAAAAATAATACATAATTTATACATAATCCTTTCTAGATAAAAATATAAAGAATATACCTTCAGCTCTAATCCAATGCTAAAAGCCAAAGAATTGACATTGATAAGTGATAGCTCGTACATTCGTTCCATGGTATACGTAGCTCGCAGTGTTTGCATCACGCGATATCAATCGGTTTTTCGATTCTGTAAGCTCGGTAGAATATTTGACCTCCAAAAGCGATCAACATTTTTTCAACACAAATGTAATTTTTAAAAAGATGTCAATTCTTTACATAGCGGGCGATCGACAAGTTATTTAAAATTTATAATTTATAATTTATAAGGATTTAGTATGTGAAGTAGTTTACGGACAGAGGTAAAGTAAAAACTCTTAAAGCCCAAGCCTGAGGGGCGTTAAAACTTGATAACCGCTCCTACTTAGCATTCAACAATTTTAAAGGAAAAAATCTTGAAGATGAAATCACCACTGGTGTATACCTTGCTTTTAAACCCAAATTGTTCTTACCTATTTTAAAGGTTGTTAACTGTTTGGTACTGAACTGTACCAAACATATTTTGTATTTTTATTTAATCGGTTTGTTTGTTAAGAACACACAGTTTCAATAAGGATATTACAAAGAGCCCTATAAACTCTCTTAAAGTTTAAGACCTTTCTTAAAAAATTGAATATCAACTTGAGGATCAATAATCTTACAATTATAATCGCGAAACATCTTACCTACTTGTCGACTAGGAAGATTTCCTGTCCGCTCTGCTTATTTAATATTATGTTTATTTCATACTTGAAGTTATTTCTTTATCCACGCTGTAAAAATCGTTTGCAATGGAAGTTTGGTTAAATAACAAATGCAAATTTACTTCCACTGATTATGTAAGATTGTATTATTTTTTCATTATGTCTGGGCTAAAGAAATATCAATGGATCTCATAATGTGAAACTCATGTCTTTTGAGGGACATTGCGAGAACTTTGTTGGACTTTTTTTTTGGAACGAAAATTTGGTAAACTGAGTCTCTACAGTAACGATCGTGGTACTCTCATCTCCAGAAGACAAAAAAGTGAATAAAGGGAGGATTTTTCCTCATAGATAATAACAAAACAAAGGACTAAAAAATGACAACAGTTTTGCCTTCAATTTTCAGTCTCTGAAATGATGCATTTCGAGGTTTTTGTTCGAGGTCTCAAGTCTTCAAAACTCGGCCAAAAACGAACCTTTATGATATTAGAAAAATATCTGACAACAATCCGCCGATTAAAATTGCGCTGGTTAGTTAAAAGAGAGGTATGTTTACTTCGCGTCTCAAGGACACTGATAATACATTGTTTTGCTGCAGACTTAAAATAAAATATATTTTTTTCCTGTCTTCTTCCATTTGCTATCTCTTTCTTTTGACTCCACTTTCCCACATGTATTATTCCCTACAATCTCAGTTATTTTTTCTTAATAAACGTCATTCCTTTTGTTCTCGTACTCTTTTTATTTACCATAATTCAAATTCTGATAATTTTGAATTTTTCCGCAGAATTATTTTTTTGGTTTTAAAAGCTTCGAAGAAGAATGTTCTAAAATTCACCGAACATTTTTTTTTCCTAGATACGCTGAGAGGGTATGTCTCAAAGCAATCAACACCAAAGGTATCAGGTCATTGTTGCTTCGAAATTATTAAAGAAATCGCCTATCGCGAGAGCCGCTTACAAAAACATTCTTAAGTGTGAGGAATTCAGTTCCCTAGGTTACGAGGCACAGTGTCTCACGGCCACTTAAAAGCACTTTCTGTGTCAACTTGATCTCCAAGAATCTTTTTTTTAATCATTATTTTCCAAGTAAACTAACTTCAAATTCCATGGTTGACTTAGTTGTGCGTAGATTAACTTACAAATGTGCAAATAAGACTGTCATTATTTATCCCCTTAGAGGCGTTAAAAGATTTTTATTCTATCCCGATCAAATTTACCCAATCCTCCCTCAAGGCTCAGTAATTTTCCAATGACCTATCACCATTCATTAGAAGTTAATTCCCAGTCAATTTTCTGTAGCCCTCCCTTTATACTGTGTTGGTGACGACTGACATCCCCCTTCCGTTCCCCCTGAAAACCACCTGATCTTTCCAATTCCACCCCCTTCCCCCTAAGTGATATTTGATTACTGGCCCGTAGATAATCGTCAATGAAGCAACAAATACAAAATCATGGATATGGGTAAAATTAGGTGACAGAGTTACATTGTTCCTTCTCTATAATATAACATAATGAATATGGGTAAATTAAGTAACAACGAGCTTGTCGCCTCTCTATAATATAACACAGTGGATATGGGAAAAACTGAGTAACAGAATGACATTGTTGCCTCTCTATAATATAAAATAACGAATATGGGTAAAATTGAGTGACAGAACAACATTGTCGCCTCTCTATAATATAACATAATGGATATGAGTAAAAATTGAGTAACAGAACGACATAGTTGCCTCTCTATGGTATAACATAATGAATATGGGTAAAATCGAGTAACAGAACGAGCTTGTCGCCTCTCTATAATATAACATAATAGATATGGGTAAAATTGAGTAACAGAACAACATTGTTGCCTCTCTATCATATAACATAATGAATCTCAGTAAAATTGAGTAACAGAACGAGCTTGTCGCCTCTCTATAATATAACAACGGATATGGGTAAAATTGAGTAACAGAACAACACCGTTGCCTCTCTACAATATAACATAATGAATATGGGTAAAATTGAATAACAACGAGCTTGTCGCCTCTCTATAATATAATATAATGGATATGGGTAAAATCGAGTAACAGAACGAAATTGTTGCCTCTCTATAATATAACATAGTGGATATGGGTAAAACTGAGTAAGAGAACGACATTGTTGCCTCTCTTTGATATAATGGATATGGGTAAAATGGAGTAACCGAGCGACATAGTTGGCTCTCTATTGTATAACATAATGGTATGAGTAAAATTGAGTAGCAGAACGACATGTTGCCTCTATAATATATCATAATGAATATGAGTAAAATTGAGTGACAGAACAACATTGTTGCCTCTCTATAATATAACATAATGGATATGAATAAAAATTAAGTAACAGAACGACACAGTTGCCTCTCTATGGTATAAAATATTGGATATGGGTAAAACTGAGTAACGGAACGACACAGTTGCCTCTCTATAATATATTTTTCCGACACCTGTTGTTTGTTCTATATGAATATTCAGGAATATCCAGCTTTGCTTTCTAAATGTCGGTAAAGTTTACACACCTTAGGTCTATCTAGTTCATTTTGGCTTTGACATTTGAAAATCCCCAAAATGGTTGTCAAACAAACATCCTTTTTAGAAAACGACAGCAGTCTTCATAGAAACAAAAACTGCCTAAGCAGTAGTGAAAGTGATGCCTGAAAAATTCAGGCCTGCGCGGGATTTGAACCCATGACCTCTGAGATACCGGTGCAGTGCTTTACGAACTGAGTTAACTAGCCAAATTAGAGAAGGTCAACCAGCATAATGACATATTGTTACTGAAATGCTCGATCAAGAGAAAATGAGGAGATCGAGCTGAAGCTTGAGATATGCTAGTTGTTCTAATGTTACTATGAAATAGTTTCTTAGGCAAAAGTCAACACTTCCCTATGAAGATCAACCTCGACCTAATGTCTAAGTTAAAGAAATATGACGTCCAACGCCCTGATTCACTATCTCAGTCTGTAATTTTTTTTTTGTAGTTTGGTAGCTTATGGTTGGTTTGCTCTACTGTAATATTATCGTCACCTGACCATGACCTGCAGAGTTGTAACAACAATCATTATGTTGGTTGTTTCCAGCATTGAACGACCCACCTCCACCGCCACAGGAATTACCTAGGTCTTTACCACTACCTCCCCCAGAGTACCCTCCTCCTCCTCCTCCCCCCCCTGACCATCCCCAAGCCCCACCTCCTCCCCCAAACCCACCAGTGACATCGTTGTAACGGGCTCTCCCACCCACCCCTCCCTGAAGAAATCCCTTACCACCCTCTCCACCCTCTCCCACGGTTCCATTGAAATACGCTCCACTTCTTCCACTTGAACAAAAGCCGCCACCACCTCCACCTGAGAAAAAAAAATAACGATACATGGAAATTGATCTAAGGATACGGTAGACCTTCGAGGGCCAATATTTTGGGAATTGTCTTGGAATTTTTTTTCCATGTAAAACTGAACATTGTTATTTGACATAAAGTTTCCGAGAAAAAACTGAACATTGTTATTTGACATAAAGTTTCCGAGAAACATTTATGTAAAGTATTGAAATACACCCGAGTTATTGGAAAAAGAAAAAAAAAACATATTTCTGAACTTAATTCGTCAGCCGGCCAAACTGTGAATAGCCAATTATAACATGTAAACATAAATGACTCCCCAAGGGTTTCTTGATCCTTGAATTTCGTAAACATCTCATTATTTCGGTTGCACCTTGAGATCTTTGCTATATGTCTGCGTTAAAAACTAGAATGGGAATAGACATAGATGTAGGGAGAGGATTCCATAGATGAAAGTAAAAAGAAGTCTGGCTGTCTGCATAAGAAGTAAAGAAATTAAGCACGGTATGGCGAAATGCATAAGGACTTGTGGTTTAAGCAATCTTCGTTGCTTGCACTCGGCCAGTGACTATTAAGTTTTGCCACGGCGTGCCCAAGCCGCTTTTAAGTTAAAAATTATTTTAAAAAAAGATTTGAAATCGAAATTGCCGTTCAGCTGAATTGAACTAAAGGTCTGTTACGGGTAACTAATGGATAGAAACTTACAGAATATGTTGAATATGTTTCTGAGAGTCTCTACAGGACGCCTCCGTGTTTCTGTTGGCAGTCGGAATTCTGAGTTTTTTCGATATTGATATAACTTGACATGTGGTCACCCAAACGCGTGAATTTTCGGAAAAGCAAAAAAACCTAATTTTTTTTTTTTTTTTTGCGAGCGTGCCCTCTTTGAACGAATTAATAAGGCATGTAAACTTTACCATGGTTGCCATAACATTTGGTCCAAAGACTCCCAAGATACCAACTCAGGCTATTTGATAATTTAATGTATAATAATGTTCAATTCTGTGGTTAAGGCAGAATTTCATAATTTCTTCTGGGTTTTTAAAATGTTGAAATATCAGAGGAAGTGATACTCTAAAGAATGTCAAGGTAAAGATGCCTAGAAGGACACTGAGGGAAAACTGTGATCTATCTTTTCACGCTCAGTCAGAAACTAGATTGATAATGACATTGTCACGTTATCAGCACTAGTCGTGCATAGAGACCAGGAACGTACAACCTGATTAAGTTGCTGCTAAGGCCATGAAGAGTAAGAAAACATCACAATATATTTTTACCTGAAACGCCATCACCAGCCGTCTGTGCACCATGTCCATTGCTTCCCCCTGACCATGATTGGTATCCAGGATTCCCTGTTGTTTGTGTGCTGGCGTCACATCCTCCATGTCTTGATTTAACACTTTGTAAACCTCCCCCGCCTCCAGCTATAATCAAAGGTGCATTGGCTCCTCTCACTACAAATGTACCTCCACCACCTCCAGAGGACCACCTCAGCTTGTTTATTCCTCCTTCTTGACCAACAATTATTTGTATGACTTCACCCTTGTTTAGGCGAAATGTTCCGATCATAATTGCTCCTCTTCCTCGGTACTGAGCACTGTTGGGAGTTGGATCGTATCCTCCTGCTGCTCCGATGGCTTCTATTCTGTAGTCACCAGTGTACGGCACAGTCCATTGTTGAATACCGCTGGACAGTGTAACTTGTCCGTCATGGTCCTGACCTGTGTAGTGACTGCCCAGCGTCGTTGGACCATATCTTCCAGTGGCATTGAGATTTGTAAAAACGGCTTGGAATTCTGAGGGATAAAAAAAGTTTACTTCAACCATTTTTTGATATCACACGTTCTTTCATTCAATTGAGAAAAATAAAGAAAATTGATGTGATCCATCATTGGTTTTTGTTTGATTGCCTGTTCCTTTTCTTTTTTATTATTATTATTAAATTTTTTTTACTCTAAAACTCTTTAAGAACGTAGTAGTAGTGGTAGTAATAGAAAACATGGCAGAACTTTTACATTTGGAAATTTGGTTGAACATATTCATGAAAATCTAGCTTTTTCCAAAAGGATATGATGCAAGCTATTTCAAATTATGGTTTGATCAACTTATACGCGAATTTTGGTTATGAACCGGTGGTGTTGGTTGATGAGAATCTCATCAGATTCCATATAATTACTGTATAGACGTTGCACTGATTAACAATCAAAAGATCTGTCATACTAACTGCAACTAAATCCTGGCTTGCATTTGCATGTGTAAGAGCCAATTGTGTTGTTGCAACTTGCATTATAATGACAACCGTGGGTATCACTGATGCACTCGTTTATATCTGAAAAAAACCAACAAACAGAACAAAATAGTGATCGATGTTACAGCATAATTATCTTCGAATGATAGACAACGCCGAAGTGGAAATAACTCTCTTGAATTCCAATGTGGCATTCCAACAACTCATATTATCACAGAGGACCAGGTATAGAAACTGGGTAATGTGGAAAGACACAAAGTCTGGCCCATTCTACGGTTACGAGATTTTCGTACTGTAGTCCACTGCTTTCTAGGGCTTTAAAAAAAACGTTCTAGAGGAGAAGAATGCATCCATGGAGTAAGAGGGTTTTTTTGTTTTGTTTTGTTTGTTTTTTCTTTTTACATAATTGGTGCACTTGTTTATTTTAACAATTTTAATGATGAAAAAAATTATATATCAAAAGCTTCTTTTTAAAAAAAAGATTCATGGAGCACCGGAGCTGTTACAAAAATGAGACACTCATTTATACACGTTATAGAAGCAATTACAAAAAAAAAATAAATACAAATAAACAAGTGTATGGAAGGTGAGTTCTCCTAATAAAACTGATTGTGTGAATTTATTGATTTTTTTCCCTGAACGTACACAAGAAGAGAGGACCAAAAAAATTCAGAATAAACTGAAATACCGAAACACAAAGTTCTTTTTTTACCTTGTTCACATCTTTCTCCCATGAAACCAACTTTACACATTAAGCAAATGTATCTCTTGTTGGTAAACCCATTAACGCAGGTCATATTTTGAGGACAAGGCTTGCTGGAGCACGTATTCTACATGGACAGATTTATTTTTAGTAACATTTTTATCAAGAAAAATAAATAAATAAACATCATCGGGTAAAATCCATTTTTTCCGCACCTTTGAAGCCCAATACAAATATCCTTCTTGGGGTTTAAGGTCATCAGGATGTTGGGTGTGATCAGAATCACTCAGTTGACACACCCTTAGGCCATTCTTGTCAGGTGGACCAATGTTTACGGACACACAGGAGTTTTCCATGAGGCACCTATTTTTGCAGTCACTATAAGGCTCAATTCCCATGGTTAAATAGATTTCTTTAAAAACGTGGCGTTGAAAAGCTTGTCCTTCAAAGGATTTCAGAAACATAAGACTTCGGCAACCACGGTCTGCAAGGGATTTGCAAGATAAATGATGACAAGTGTCATTAACTTTTTGTAACAGTAAATTCTTTAAAACTAGTGACATAAATTTCGAGCATATATAAACAAAACGCCTAAATCACGGACGAAATTAAAAGAATCTGAATGGTACATAACGATCCTGATGCTTGAGTAGCTAGCTATTGAGTAATTTCTTTGGTAACCAAGAATTGAGACGATTTGTCTTTCTCGATGAGTATAAAAATTTATGCAGGAAGAGGGAGTTTTTGAATTAAGCAAAACAAGCTACTTATTTCCACTAAATATATGCAATACATGTCTGTTAAATAGATCCCTAAGTGATTGAAAATTCGTTTCAAAAATTGAAGTAAATATCGCTCTTTGGTTGGCATCATTTTTTCTTTAAAACTAACAAAATATTCAATACCTCTCTGACAAAGAAATTTGGAACAAGAGCGAAATGAAAACATCAACAACAAATTGTCATTGCGTTTTTTTTTCGCCTAATTTCGAGCAGCTGAAAATTAATCGAGTTTCGTAACTTTTCCTAAAATCATTGACTGGGGTGAATTTTTATTAATATTCCTACTTCTTTTAGTTGAATAGCTAAGTTGCAGGCGATCTTACAAGAGATACAATTAGAACTTCAAAAATAGAAAATAAGTAAAAATTCCAAATTAATTTAGTCACTTTTCTTTTCTTTTCTTTTTTCTTTCACTTTTTCTATGGAACTCACCTTCCATAGTCCTCAAATTTGGCAGAGTAAGGTTAGCATTCAAATAAAAGTCAAACACAGAGATGAATGTTCAAAAAGTGCGTAGTCTTTCCCCTTAAGGAAATCTGATATAACATTTCTTTAAACATGTAAGAATTTTATGTCTGCCCTATGCCAAGAGATAATTTAGTGCAATACTGAATCAAAGTTGGCTAACATTTAAAGAACAGAAAAAAGTATAACTTCCTACCTTTATTTCCTTCCATGGAGCAGTGAAGCCATGCTCGTAACGGAGCACACAATAACAACAGAGATAAAAATAGAAAATTGTTCCTTTCCATTGGTCGCTAGTGACAAGTTTTGGATCTCACATCCAAAGGCAAGCACGAAATTCCATGCATTATCAATGTTTCCCAACTCTTAGAAATATCCAGCACTGAAAAATTGGACTTCCAGGCCGTCGACCGAATATTTTCACAGTTTTGTTTAACCAGAGAATGATAATGTCAATTTTTAACCTGCGACAGATCCGTAAAGAAGATCAGCGGAGCTGGGCTTCGGGTGAGAAAACTGCTGCTTGCCATGCATTCAGACACCTATTTATTGCATGATTTAACTTAATTCTTACATTCGACCAATAGCAAAACGTCTTCTAAAACTTGTCATAACACGCGAAAATTCAAACAGTTTGATGACAAACGCAAAGCAAACGCAAATGTTGAAAGGCTGAGGTATTCCGGCAGAAAGGCCCGAAATAACAACAAATATCTGAGTTTTAATTCAGAGTTTTTAATAGAGATTATAGTTTCGAGAAATAACTGCCGATTACACTTGAAATGAATGCTGAGTTGCATTAAAATCATATATTTTTGACTAAGCAGCAGTCCCTGTCTAACGGAAACAAAACAATTCTGAAAAATTTGAATTAAAACAGAAGCTCACTCAGCATGCTTTACTTCCAGTCTTTGAATGGATTATGTAATCTCATTTTGTAGGAAACCTTTGGGAAGTACATAAGGTTTTAAAATGAATACGTCATTTGCAATAGTATTTCCAATAAATCTTTTGTTTCTGTGACTTCCGTGTTTTCTCAGGTCCCTACTATTTAATGAAACAGCAATCGCTATCACTCGCTTAATGAACTTTCATGAGGTGTTATCTATTTTGCGCGCCGGTTCTGTTTACTTCATCTTTCATTAAGTATCCCTTTCGAGGTACTTCAAGAAGACGACTGGCATTCAACTGTCTTTAACCAATGAAAAAATTCCGCGGAAAGACCCGAAATAACAACAAATATCTGAGTTTTAAGTCAGAGTTTTTAATAGAGATTTTAGTTGCGAGAAATAACTGCCGATTACACTTGAAATGAATGCTGAGTTGCTTTAAAATCATACATTTTTGATTAAGCAGCAGTCCCTGTCTAACGGAACCAAAACAATTCTGAAAAATTTGAATTAAGACAGAAGCTCCCTCAGCATGCTTTATTTCCAGTCTTTGAATTGATTATGTAATCTCATTTTGCAGGAAACCTTTGGAAAATACACAAGGTTTTAAAATGAATACATCATTTGCAATAGTATTTCCAATAAATTTTTTGTTTCCGTGACTTTCGTGTTTTCTCAAGTCCCTACTATTTAATGAAACAGCAATCGCTATCACGCGCTTGAACAACTTTCATATGGTGTTATATATTTTGCGCGCGTGTTCTGTTTACTTCATCTTTCATCAAGTATCCCTTTCGAAGTACTTAAAGAATACGATTGGCATTCAATTGTCTTTAACTAATGTAAAAATTCCGCGGAGAAAGCTCAAAAAAACCATGGCGTTCTTCCACTATAGCCGTTTCAGGTGTCCTACGGCTTCGGCCCACAACGTCACAAGCTCACATCCATAATGCAGTTAGCTAAATTAGGGCCAATTCTGTTTAAAATCCTGTAGTTTTTATTGATTGGGTTAAAATCTCTGTGAATGGTTTCGCTCTGGGCCTAATTTTTAGCTTTGTGGGTTTCCTTAAAACACCTGCCACACAGGAACACAGACATTCAAACATTTTGGAGGAAATAAGAGTCTTTTGTACGTATTCGCTAAAGCTATTGTGGATTTATGACGGAGCCGGATTGTTATGTTATTTCACTTCTCCTGAAATAATTCTAACTTTTAACTTTTGCGCTTTATCGGTCTTTAAATTTGTGTTGTTACTAGAAGTGGATCAATATCAGTATCTGGGCCGAAGGCGCTATGTATCAGAGCTATATAATTTTACGATAAAACGGCTTATGTAAAACAGTACCAGTAAACAACTCCTATGTAATCAAGGTCAAATAAATGGGATTATGTAATAGATGTGGCTCTCCCATAAGCCCGGTTCCTGGGTCTAGCTATAACCGCTGTAAATAATTTTTTTTGTATTGTGTATATAAGGCAAATAAAAGATGAGGAATGTTCTTAAAATGTGCGACCTTAAATCTGTCCTAAAACGCGAATGTTAAATGTTCTTAAAATACGACTTTTAAATGTTCGTAAAAGCGACAGTTTAATTTTCGTAAAGGCGACCATTTGATTTTCGTAAAATGCGACTATTAAATGTTCGTAAAAGCGACCGTTTGATGTTCGTAAAATGCGACTGTTATATGTTTGTAGCAAGCGACCGTTAAATGTTCGCAAAATGCGACTGTTAAATGTTCATAAAATGTGACTGTTAGATGTTCGTAAAATGCGACTATTGAATGTTCGTAAAAAGCGACTGTTAAATGTTCGTAAAAATGCGACCGTTAAATGTTCGTAAAAATGCGACCGTTAAATGTATAAACAACGTTGACGTAATTTCTCACGGAGGACAGCTAACAAGTTTTCGCAGGCTTTGCTTCCAAAACCTGCACTCATTGGGTTTATTTGTTTTATAGCCTGAAGGAAATACATAGACTTATCTTTTTTAGGATCAGTGGTGGTTGGGTGTGTATATAAGAATCTGGAAGACATACTGCCGAAAATTCAACCCAACAGGAATGGAACAGGAAGCACAACGTAACAATATTGTCTTCTTTGTGTTCAAAACACCTGGCCCTGGTTGTTCGAAGGGTGATTAACGTTATCCACTGAATAATTCGCTATCTAGCAGATAGGAGCAAAACATTTTGTGAACACTCATCTGCTGGATAGCATCGACTGGCGTTATCTTCCCTACGTAGAGAATATCGGCTAGAATGTGCAAATAGTTTGGTATCGTCACCACCGCTACCATTCTTTTAAACCACCATATTTGTGTCACCATCTGGTTCATTTTCAAAATCATTTTGTACACAGATATTTGGGTAACAAAATAATTATGGTAGCAATGGAACCTAAACCAAAAAAATTGCTGGAAAATGTCGTCTTAAAGTTCAAAAACAAAGGTAAGCAAGATTAAGCAACATGAAAGTAAAAGAAAGATTATTTGGAATGCGCTGTTTTTATTTCATCTCACCGCGATGATTTCATTTTCAGATAGAAGAAAGGGTGAAGAATTGCATGTTTTGGAGAGGCTTCAGCGAAAGGTAAAAATTGCAATACATTATCTACTTTTCTCAGAATTTTCTTGTTCGTTTGGTCGTCTGTTTGCCTCTATGCTCTCGCCAATATTTTCCGTGAATTTTCTTGTCGAGTTGCTGGTTGGCTGTATTTGTGAATGTCCTCTTAGTTTCTGGTTGTTAAAACATAGGAGTAGAGCTATGTATATATTGTGGAAGGTAAAAGACAAATACTCGAAACTACAAGTTCATCCCTACAAGCCTGTTACGTGGTTGCCCACTGATGAGTAAATCCCCTGATTAGTTGGCAACCACCAAACAGGCTTTTAGGGATGAACTTGTAGTTTATTTGTCTTTTTCCTCTCACATATATATATATATATATATATATATATATATATAAACCCCTGAAGAGTGAAGCGATTCACGAAACAGGCTTGTCGGGAAATGTAGTTACGTCCTTTTTTCCTCTCATAATATTTATTCTGCTCTGCTTCAACGTATTGAGCACTGTTATATATATATATATATATATATATATATATATATATTACCTTCATGTCATTACAGAGGTCTGTATACTTCACGTATATTGTAGGAAGTATAAGATATAGATACTGCTGTTGTTTCAAGGTAGGTATACGGATTCTTATTAGATTCATGACGATATTTCAGGCCAAATACCAGTGTACACATGAA